CTCCAGATGAATTGAATTATGTCTTCTTCGTAGGCAGAACAGTGGCCCAGGCTAACTTTACTTTCAGTTCTCTGATCATTTGTGCCTCTGAGGCTGCTTTCCCCAAGTTTTACAATGCATAGCGCTCAACCATGACACAGAAGAAAACAGACTGGAATCCTCATACTGGCATTTCATTTTCCATGTTTAGCTTCTGGGCTCAAATGAGTGCTGAAACTCTGGGATTGACTGAATACAGTGGTACCTCGGGTTAAGTACTTAATTTGTTCCGGAGGTCCGTTCTTAACCTGAAACTGTTCTTAACCTGAAGCACAACTTTAGCTAATGGGGCCTCCTGCTGCCGCCATGCCGCCGCTGCGTGATTTCTTTTCTCATCCTGAGCAAAGTTCTTAACCCGAGGTACTATTTCTGGGTTAGCGGAGTCTGTGACCTGAAGCGTCTGTAACCTGAAGCGTCTGTAACCCGAGGCACCACTGTATGTGAATGATAGACCTTCCTTGGCTCTGATACACTTCACTGATGAACTTGTTATAATAGTATGGCCTCAAAAGAGCAACAAGTAAATTGTAAACTATTATGGGCATCTCCTTGTGCAACTTGTTTCTTTTAGCCCAATTATATAGATAGTCTGATGCAGAGTAGATCCACTGAAATTATATATATATGATTAACTTGGGCTCTTAATTTCAACTGGTCTACTCTGGGTAGGACTAGCATTGGCTACAATCTAATTTGTTTAAATAAAATGTGGGAAACTGCATCCATGAATAAGCTGGCTCTTTTGTAATGTCTTCAAGCAGAGAAAAGATGGTTTTATGCTTCTTTTTTCTCTTTAAAAACAAGCTAGGAACAATTTCCCCACTTGTGGAATCACACCACTAAAGATATGTTGCTTTAAAACATGTGTTGATGTTTGTTTTAATTGCTATGTCAGGGTAATTTTCAACTAACGTTTCATTACAAGTTCATTACAAATTCAAGCCACGAGAGTCTGATGTAAGAAAAAAAACCCTCTCAATAGACTTTCATAGAGTTCTTTGGTTCCTTTAGGAATAAGGAATGCATCTCCCTCTTTGCTTTCCAGGTCCAAAAACCACATCACCACCTGACATTTAAACAACATTATATTTGTTAGTCTCCTTTAAGGTGCCACTGAACTTTTCATTGTTTTATTAGAGAAATCCTTTAAAAAATGTTTAGGTACATATTTTAAAAACTGAATTATTTTCACAACAGATCAGAATATGTTGTGGATGTTTTAATTTATTGGATAAATATTCATTTGATCCAAGCATTTGCACACAAGAGAATACCTAGGAAGAAGCTCAGCTCTGATTCCTAGGAATCCAGCCATTGAACAAAAACTCCCCTCAAATGGTCCTTTTCTAGGATTCATTCTGCTAAGTACATCAGATGAGATCTACCTACAAGCTTTGAATGATACTTAGCTGCAGTCGCCATGAGCCGTAGGAGGAACTGAATGCACATCTGATTTTTGCGACCCACAGTAAACTCTTTATTGCTTCAATCCATACACTGACCATCCATCTCACCTATGAGCCGAGCCTGATTAGGATCAAACCATATAAGACGGCAGGAGATCTGTGATTAGATTCTCCATGGGGCATTTTTAGCAGCTTCAGAAGACTAAGGTTCTATGGGAGAGCGGGGTCTTCCTGTTTTAACACTTCCCCCTGAAAAAAGGTGTGGAATAGGGTACCTGTGTATTTCTGCCATAGGCAGATTCTGCAATCAGAAAGGATGGAAATCAATGAAATGATGTAGGGATGGAGCTAAACCCCCCTCCTTTGTTACCACAGCTGCAACCTGATTCAGTCCCCAATCCCTCAGCTACTTAAAGGTAAAGGTAAAGGACCCCTGACAGTTAAGTCCAGTTGCGAACAACTCTGGGGTTGTGGCGCTCATCTCGCTTTACTGGCCTAGGGAGCTGGCGTTTGTCTGCAGACAGTTTTTCTGGGTCATGTGGCCAGCATGACTAAGCTGTTTCTGGCAAAACCAGAGCAGTGCACGGAAACGCCGTTTACCTTCCCGCTGGAGTGGTACCTATTTATCTACTTGCACTGGCGTGCTTTCAAACTGCTAGGTTGGCAGGAGCTGGGACACAGCAACGGGAGCTCACCCCATCGCGGGGATTCGAACCGCTAACCTTCCGATCGGCAAGCCCAAGGATGAGTGGTTTACACCACAGCACCACCCGCATCCCTCAGCTACTTTTAACTTCAAATAAAACGAGATATCTGATCCCAGATCTTGTCCTGCCTACTTGCACCCCTAGCTTCTGCAATAAACATGAAAGCATCGCAGATTTCAGTAAAGCTGTTAGATAATTTGGAATAACATTCGGGTGGTGACCTAAATTTGGCTATTGTATAAGTTGCCAACTTCTACTTTTAACTATGGATCACTATGACGATTCTCATTTTACATACCGACGAAATAGAAGACGTATCCTGGAAATAGAGGACATATTGCAGCCCTACATCCTGCAACAAAAGGAGCCTTAAGACCTGCAGATTTTAAGATGTGGAAGGCTGGACTAGCACCTGGGTGTGCAGTTTATGTATTCTTAGCAAACAGCTGAATGTGGCACAATATAATTTTTCATGTTCCAACACAGGCTATTGCAGGATTTTGATGCTGTTGAATACAGCAAACTGGGCAAAGTAAATACAGGTCATCAGTCAAACTTGTATGTAACATTTTCTCAGCTAAATTTGATGACGACCACTTACATTGTCTGAAAATGACAGGTTTGGGAGGACAAAATTATGACTTCAGATTACATCAGACTACATTTCCTAAACTGGGCTAAGAATCTGACTAGTCATGCTCTTCTTAACTTGGAAGCAATGAAAAGACTGCCATCTAGTGACAAAAGGGTATTGAAATGTTAAAAATGCATGCCGCTGTATTCTTTGATTGTTGTGGTGTTGTGTTTACTTTATTGTATTTACTACATTTATTATAACTCTGGAGGCCCAGTTTTGGGAGGAAAAGCAAGATAAAATAAACTCTCAAGGCCACTGTCGCCCTGCAGCCAGGTGAGGGCAGTCTGTTTCAGGATGCAGCTTCGAGGTGAAAACAGAACAGGTGTTTCAGAGGTGCAGCTGAATTTAGCTTCTCCAGTAACGAAGAACTGCCAGGTCCCTGGCATTCTAAACCCTGACGCTTATAGATGTTACGGTACGCGATTGGACTGCCAAATCCATGAATGAACAGAACTGCTGTTCCCAGCTGAAAAGAGAAAAGGCTTCTTACAAGATTTCCCCATTCTCGTGTTTGAAACCTTTCATCACACAACACATCACAAATCTGTGGTCTTCTATCCCTAAGGCGCTTATCAACCCTCCATTGCCACATTTTTTAGGGGGCACAGGTGCACATTTTTTAGGGGGCACAATCAGGTGCCCCCACAAAGACACAGAGCCCTGGAAGCTGAGGTGTGGTGGCAGGCGGGTTGGTTTAGAGGGCAGGTGGATGGAAGCAGCGGGCAAGGAGCCTGTTAGAGGCGGGCAGCGTTCACCCTCTGCACTGGCTAAAGGCCACAACACTTGCTTTGCTCCAGGCACCAGCAACCCACACTACGCCACTGCAGCAGGGGAGAGAAGGCATAGCACCATGCCATGCTGATTACTTAGCAGGGAAGACCTTTGTTAAAGCAACAGGAGCAAGCCAGGCTGGCTCCTTTCCTTCCCACCATCAGATGCTATCCCTTGCTTGCAAACTACATTTGTGAGAGGGGTTTAATCCACCCCTTCCCCCAAAACTACAATTCCCAGAGTTCTGGGGTGTAGCGGCAGCCTTTATCCAATTGCAGATGGAATGAATTCATTTTTGTTTTGCCGCATGGATTTTGTTGCTGCGGTTATTATTACTGATCTTCTCAAGCTCCCATCAGGGTCAGTGTTTCCCAAAGTGAGTGATATTTCCCCCTGGGGGTGGTGCTGGAACAATCCAGGGGCCATGTAGCAGCCTTGTGTGCAATTGGGGGTCACTGAATAAAAATAAGAGGGCAGTGGAAGTGTAAAGAAGAGAAGAAAATGTTGAAAAACTGTTCATACATGTTTTATCTGTTGTGTAATGATGTTTACTGCCCAAGTCGAGTACAGTTGCGGGACGGTGCCAATGCCCTCCCTTCAATGTGTCCTATTCAGGGCTGGATTTAGGTTTGATGAGGCCCTAAGCTACTGAAGGTAATGGGGCCCTTTATATGTCCAGCTGTCCTTTGTCAACAACAAATTGTCACTGTTTTTGTGTTGAATATATGCTATATAGTAATTTATTGACCTGATAGGTATCTAAAGCCACTTGCTTATGCAGAATGTAGGCACCCTATATATAGAAATGAGCAAACCAGTGATATTTTAGGGAGCAGGCGGGGCCCATTACTTACATACAAAACAGTGTTGCTGTATGTAGGTTTTATTTTATTTGTTTTTTATCTTATATTTTGGAAATGTACATCCAGTTTTTCTCCCTTTAATTTTTTTTGGGGGTCCTAAGAGAGTGGCGCCCTAAGCTGTAGCTTAATTAGCTTACACGTAAATCGGGCACTGGACATCTTTCTTTATTATGTTGTAGGACTTAGGTAGAAATATAGATACATAAAAGAACGCAAATTTGTCACTGCATCTTTGTTTGTTCGCTTAGAGAAGGTAGATTTCTAGGGGGGCGCTGAGTAATCCCCCCGCCCTGAAAAGTGGGCGGTAGTAAGCTAAGTAAGTTTGGGAACCTCTGATCAGGGTGATGGGAATGGAATTAATATTTGCATCGCTTTTTCCCAACCACAATCATCGGGCTCAAAGCGGCTCACAATAATAATCCATAACTGCGTAAAAAACGAAGCAAAACAAAAACCAGGCGTCGCTATCGCTTTTACATCAAACACAATTGCATATACAGCGAACAGCGAACTCAGCAGAACCTTTTGTGTGCGAGCGGCGCGCGCGCCGCAGAGCGCCCCCTGCCGGCCGAAGCGTCTGCAACGGAGCCCAGAAGCTTCTTAGTGGGCGGGAAGGCGGCAAAGGACAACAGGCCGCTGACGGCAGCGGGTCACGTGACGCTGCGTGGGCCGAAGTTGCAACAGCTGGAGCGGAGCAGATATAGGCAGGAGGGGTCGTTTGCGGCGCGTGGCCGGGTGGGCGTCTCGCTGGAGCCTGGGAGGTCGCTGCTGCTCGCTTCCCGTGAGTGAAAGGGAAAGCCAGAACGAGGAAGGGCGGGGGGGGGAGTTCCTTGTAATTAGGGAGATCAATTCCTTAACAGATAGCATTCCCTTGCCTCCTGTTTCCAACCGCCTTTCCGTCTCCCCCTCCTTGATTCCCTGCGCGCGTGGAGCAGATCATTGCCGCCCTGCTGCTGAAAATGCACTCTGCGTATGCTCAGAGGCCTTGTTTTTTTGTGGGGGCGGGGAAGGATCTGGGCACTGAGCGCTGGTAAAACCAGCCAGTCGGTCCGTCTAGGTCAGTTTTGCTTACACTGACTGGCAACGGCTGTCCAGGATTTGGGGCAGGAGGAGGCTCTCCCCATCGCACTTGGAGGGATGGAACCGGGGACCCTCCGCTTGCAAAGTAGAGGCTCCCCCACTCCTGTCTCAGGAGGTTGTTGCCAGGTGTGTGTGTGTGTAAGAGAGAGGAGAGATCTTTGGAAGTAGCAGCCGGTTCCTTGGCTGGTAGTAACTTCCTAGTGGACTTTCTTCCTATCAGTTATACCGTCTTAACTCTGGGAGGAGGTTGCTGCTGGCCTCATTGGTGCCTGTATTCGCGTTGCAGCCTGGTGCCGCGGCTGTTTCGCCAGAATTAAGGCCACTGGATTCAATGAGGTTTAATTCCCAGTTAAGTCTGTCGGGCTGTAAGGAGGGCTGCCCGTGTTCTGCTTGTTTACTCTGAAGCAAGTTCAGCAGGACTTTCTTCCCCCACAGAAATGCACACAGGGCTTCAGACACATTTATTTGGAGTTTGTGTGTATGTTTGCTTTAGAAAAAGCTTCCTTGCACCTTTTTTCTTTTTCTAAATAGTGAGATATTTGGCTACCTTTGTCATTGCTTATTTCATCTATAAATACAGTGGTACCTTGGGTTACATACGCTTCAGGTTACAGACTCCGCTAACCCAGAAATAGTGCTTCAGGTTAAGAACTTTGCTTCAGAATAAGAACAGAAATTGGGCTCCGGCGGCGCGCAGCAGCAGCAGGAGGCCCCATTAGCTAAAGTGGTGCTTCAGGTTAAGAACAGTCTCAGGTTAAGTACGGACCTCCGGAACGAATTAAGTACTTAACCTGAGGTACCACTGTACTATATTTTGAAGGGGGCATTTTTTATTTAGCACATTATCATCATTATTATCAATCCGCCTTGCCCCAGTGAGCAACCTGGCTGCTCAATTTTGCACCAGCTGAAATTTCCAAACCGCCTTCATAGGCAGCCCCATGTATAGCTCATTGCAGTAATATAACCTAGATGCTAACAGAATGTAGACAACAAAAGTTAGTGTATCTTGGTCCAAATAGGGGTGCAGCTGAGTCACCAGCCAAACCTGATGTAAGGCACTCTGCACCACCAACGCCGCCTGAGCCTCAAGCGACAGCAATGGATCCAGAAGTTCCCACAAGCTGTGTACTTGTTCCTTCCACATGTGCATCCCAGGAAACTCGAGGTGTTGTACAGTACATGGGATTCTAGATTAGTGGTTCCCAAAATGGGCAGTACTGCCCCCTAAGGAGGTTGGCTCTGGGTCAAGTTAATCAATTTTATGGAATTAGACCAAATAGTTTTAATTAGATTTTGAATAAATGTGCACTTAATTGTTACTGTTTTGAATTTTATTGTGTTACCAACTTCCTTAGTGGTTTATGCAAAGGTTTATTAGTGTTATTATGAATGTTGTTTTTTATAGGGTAGGGGGCACTGGGTATGAGTTCATGGAACCAAGGGGTCGGAGGCCTGAAAAAGTTTGGCAACAGACACATACTGACCAGATCCGGACCACTTAGTATTAGCAAGCTAACTGTATCATGCTTTCTCGGACTATGCAATTTGATCAGTTTATGGGGCAGCTTATTAACTGCCTGTTGTCTAGTCAAGTGAAGTTGAGGCCAAACTTTGAAGCTCAGAAGGCTAAAGCTGACCACAATCCACCATAAGCCTATGCCATTTCCTCTTTCATGTGCCTTGCTGATGGTTGCTGTTTAGCAGCTAGCTCTGTTGCATGCTTATTGCTAATTGGAGCAAATCAAAAGAGCACTGTTCCCGAAACATCACGAGTTCACAATTGTATTTGTGGTGGATGTTTCATACTTCCAAACCATCCTACCCCTGAACAATTCTGAATGACAATTTTTTAAAAAAGTTTGTCGCTTCCCATGTTTTTACTGAAACAGTTTTTTAATAACCAGCAGAGCAGTCCCAAAGGAGCAACAGGAGGGGGGGTATGGGGGGGGGAGAGACAGGAAGTGCTTTTTCTAACTTATACCACTGTGGAGCTATTACAGCTCAGGATCTGATGCATCTCAGGCTGGCTCAGCCCCTCCATCTCCCCATGACCCCATTTTTTAACTTACTGTGGGCAGAATGATGGTGGCAGCAGCACTCTGTGGGTGGGGGCTAACATAGACATGGAGATGTTAGCTGTACAGTAGTACCTCGGATTACAAACACTTCAGGCTTACAGACTCCGCTAACCCGGAAGTAGTACCTCAGGTTAAGAACTTTACCTCAGGATGAGAACAGAAATCATGCGGCAGCAGCGGGAGGCCCCATTAGCTAAAGTGGTACCTCAGGTTAAGAACAGTTTCAGGTTAAGAATGGACCTCCAGAACGAATTAAGTTCATAACCAGAGGTACCACTGTATTAGCTTTTATCATTTGATGTCACTGGTTATATAAACTTGCCTGTAAGTTTGCATATGGTGGGGAACTTGAGCTTTACAGCAGCATATCAGCCTGTCAAAACAAATACTGAAATACCATGCAATATAAATAGCTTTCAAGAGCTTTTCAGTCATTGAAAGGCTACTCTTAACACTTGTGTGCTAAGTGATTGGGGGGGGGATTGTTAGAACCCCATATAAAATGACCAGGACTCTGTGATTGTTACCAGAGGCCCTCATTGTGTGCTTCCTGCACGACAGGTGCAGAGGGTGGCAGCACGAGTACCGGCCTTTTCTGCAGTGGCTCCCTGTTTGTGGAATGCTCTCCCCAGGGGGGTACAGCTCGTGCCTTCATTATACTCCATTAGGTAAGGCAATTCCTCTAAGCCAGGCCTTTGGCTGATTAATATTCTATGGCCTTTTAAGTGTGTGTGTTGGGGTGTTTTTAATTATTTATTTTGTGCTTTTATCCTGTATTATCTTGTGAACCGCCCTGAGATCTTCAGAAGAAGGGTGGTGTATAAAGTTAATAAATAATAGTAATAATATAATAATTCAATTGTTTGTGTAAATTAAAGGTTAAATATAGAAGCACAGCAGCTATATAATGCTGTAAAGGTGCTTTGCAGATCAAGATTATGTATCCATAGTCTTGTTCAAAGTAGACCTGCTGAAATTAATGATCGTGGCTAAGTTAGGTAAAACTTAGTTAATACCACCCTAAGCCTTTTTCAAGGCAAGGCAAGCTGTTTTACGGAAAGTTAGGATCACTATATATCCCTTAATTCAAGCTGTTACTGCTCACTATACATGACATGGCAGCTCCAGGGTGTTTTCTCTCTCTCATATTCACAGCCGTATAGTATAGTTGGTTTCCTTTAATGGAAGTGTTCTCTTCCGCTTTGTCTCCAGTTACTCCTGCTGCGATCCAGTTTTCCGTAATGTATCAAGAACGGGATTCAGCTGCGCAAGAGGGTGCAAATTTGAAGACGATTGAAGAAGAGTACAAGGAGGCATTTGTGTTTGTTAATAAAGCCCTGAATGCAGATGAGCTTGGACAGAAGGAAGAAGCAAGGAATTATTACAGGCAGGGTATTGACCACTTGCTCAGGGGAACTAGCGTCCCGTCCCAAGGTCATGGATGCACCGGGGACCGATGGGAGTCTGCCAGGCAAATGCAGCAAAAAATGAGAGAGACGCTACAAAACGTTACTGCACGCCTAAGCATTCTAGATGAAAATGCACAGCCTAAACCCATTGCCATGTGTCCTCCTATGGAAGCGCCCAGGATATACCCAACAATTCCAGCCAAAGAAAAACCAGAGAGGCCTCCTGTACCGAATTCACTGATGACTCCATCACACCTGGCTGCAGCAGGTGGAAATGCTGGCTGTACAAGCCAAGGGCAAGCTGCTGTGATGAGTCCTTCATCTGCAATGCCCACTGAGGAACCCCCAGCTTATACACCTGAGGCCACGGGTGGGCACTACACTGTGTCGTACGGGACAGACTCTGGGGAGTTCTCCTCGGTCGGAGATGATTTCTACACGAAATGCACACAGCCTCCACCTGTTCAGACGTTGGGGGTAGATGCTGATGAACTGATCCTCATTCCCCACGGGGTGCAGATATTCTTTGTGAGTCCTGATGGACAAGTGAGCGCTCCCTCGTATCCCGGATACCTTCGCATTGTGAAGTTATTGGACACGGATGCTGCAGCAGCCCAGAATCGCCCCCCTGCTTTCCTTCAGGTAACTTTCACATTTTGTTTGTGTTGCTGGCCACAGCCGTTGACAAGCTGTGAAATGAGTGCTAACCGTTCTATGACATGAGTGCTAATGTATCATTCATTTGAATCCACAGTGTTCTGTGCAAAATGTTATTTTGGTCTTCTCTTTTCCAGGTTTGTGACTGGTTGTATCCTCTTATGTGCAACCAGTCTCCTGTCCTCTCCTGTAGCACAGGAGTCTACATGTTCCCTGACTTGATGTCACAGGTGCCAGGATCCTATGTGGGAGTAGTGTTATCTTCAGAACTTCCAGCTGCTGACAGAGAACTGTTTGAAGATCTGCTAAAACAGATGTCTGACCTTAGAGTGCAGGTAAACAGTGTTATGCCACCATCCAGAATAATTTCAATGCACAAGTATCACCGGGTGACACTGATGAGCTGTTAAACTGTCCGCTTCATAGAGCACTATAAATGAATTTCAGGATTGCCTCTGCAAGGATTTACCTTTGGCAATATAGAGCATGTTTTATGGTGAGGCTGGGCAACATCTGAAAATAAATTTACCGTGTGGTGCTGTGAAGGGCAGGGCAAGTAGGCTGATTTTCCTGCAGGATCAATTGAGCAGACGTAGAGAGGCATTACTGCAGCTTACAGTGTGTCAGAAGTATGACATCCAGCTCACTTGCTCAGAGTGCAACAATGACTAAGCAAAATCTTAAAATGCTACATATATAGGAAGTCCCTCTAAGATAATTAAGAATCTGGTAGATCACAGTTCATTCGTGAAGTGCAGGGAAAGGTTATCCGAGAGATTATCACTCTAGTAAACAAGGTCAGTATTAAGAAGGTGGGAAATCTGAACGGCAGATGTTAGAGGGAGGCATACCTGTAATTATAAAGGCACATTTTTAGCAACAACAACAACAACAAAAACAATAATTTTATTATTTATACCCCACCCATCTGGCTGGACTTTCCCATCCACTCTGGGCAGCTTCCCAAAAAATATTAAAATACAGTAACCCATCTTCCCTAAAAGCTTCCCTAAACAGGGCTGCCTTCAGATGTCTTCTAAAAGTCTGGTAGTTGTTTTTCTCTTTGACATCTGGTGGGAGGGCGTTCCACAAGGCGGGTGCCACCACCGAGAAGGCCCTCTGCCTGGTTCCTTGTAGCTTGGCTTCTCACAGTGAGGGAACCGCCAGAAGGCCCTCGGCGCTGGACCTCAGTGTCTGGGTAGAATGATGGGGGTTAAAACTAATTACCAAAAGAAGTGAGAACATTTGCCATTTGTCTTGACATGTTAAAATACTTTCTAATCTCTTGGAGAACTGGCCATATGGTGATGGAACAACCTGATCTTGCAATTACTTATTCACCTGTGGGGATGTTTACTAATGCATGAATTCACCTGCATGTGGTTCATGAGAAGGATAATTCTTTCCACTGTGTGATATTATTGTCTGATGGTGTACAACAGTGCCTAACAGATTCCTTGTCGAGCCTTTGAACTTGTGAATCTATTAATGTCCTTGATATGGTATCACAGGTTCCAGGATCCCATGAGGGACTAGGGTTACCGTCCCAACGCTCAAGATCTTACAAAGAGCTTTTTGAGGATCTGTTTAAACAAAGATCTGATCTCAGAGCCAAGGTAAACTTCAGAGGTGGTGGCAAACTTTTTACTAAGCCAACACATTTTAAACTTTTAAGAAATGGAAATTACTTTGTTTTGTGGTATTTATTGAAAAATGTATCTGCCGCCAACAGTGGCTCTTGGAGAGAGAACAAATAATGAAAACGTTGAAAATATTAATCATGTATACTAGTAGCAATCTTGGTTCCCCAAGTGACAGTCCTTATGCAGCCGGAACAAGGCCCACCCAAACATGAGAGTATCTGCAGGGTGGAGGGTCCCTGAGGTTTACAGAAGCACAAAAAATATTTAGTGGACAACCCCCCCCCCCGCAAGGCCCAATGGAGACTGTTGTAGGTCTCAACTAATAGAATATGGTTGAGGTATCAGAAGTTACCAGGGATGAGCCAAAATAGATGAAGGACACAGGTTATGAGAAATGGACCCAAGGCTGGAGAAAACTTCTATTATTTTCAGGGAGAGCAGGTGTGAACTGAAAGCTAATTAATTCTGCTGCCGATTTCTGGAATAAGTGTGTGACAGAGGTTGGGCTTAACTGGCTCTGGCCTTTGTGCTGTGGTGGCACAGAACCCCTTCTCCACTTCCCTGTCTCCAAAGGACACCCCGCATTTTACAGAGGCTGACAAAAGGCTACCTATCTCTGTTGATCTCTGTGCTCCCTCCTCATGCTAATAGCTTCAAAGAAAATACAGTCGTTTGTTAAATCTCGTTTCCCACAGTGGACAAAGCAGTAAACTGCTTTTAAGTGCTTATAAACCTGGACATGACATTTTTACGAGTTTTTAATTGTTGAGGAATTATTATTTGCAAGAACCATGAGGGAGTTCTAGAACAGCTATGGTTATTTAGATCTTAACTTATTTATTCCCTTTTTTAAAAATAAAGATTGTGACATTGTGGGTTACGAATTCTTTTAACACTGTCAAGAATGTTCGAATGGCTCGAATTTTAAAGTACAGTACCACCCAGTTCAACATAATGTAATGTAATGTTTAGGAATAGATGGGAAAATGGGAACAATATTACGGCTGGCTTTGTGAGCTCTAGATAACCTAATGCAGAACTTCTTAAGAACTCGGAGTATATTCATAGCAACTGTACATAATGGCATGACTTAACAAAACGGATTGAGCTTTGGCCTGTGACTCAATTTAGTAGCTTAGAGGGGATCAATCAGAAATACACACCAGTCGCTTATATTTGGTTCCTGCTGTTCACATGAGTGTAGGCTATTTTAACTCTCAAGTGTGTATGTTAGGCAATGCAGATGAAATAGGATGTCAAGCTAGAACCTGGAGAGGATGTCTCAGGATTGCTTTGGTTCACTTTAATGCAGTAGTAGCCATCCTGCTTATACTTAGGGACTGATTTTACAATGTCACATTGTTTCATAAATGCATAAAAGATGCTACACAGAAAATGCAAAATCCATGTCAGTTTTGCATTCTAATGCAAGATCCTTGTGTACTTGCTTGTGTGAAATTTCTGTGCAGAGAATTGAACCTTACTAATTCCAAAGTGATATAAAAAGTCTGGAGCTGTGACGATAACATTCCTGTGATAATACCTTCATTTGATCACATAGACTAATCCTTTATAGTAATCTAATGTGAAAACGGGTTATGTTTAATGTTGTTGTTTCCATCTTTGTTGTTGCAATCTTTTAATTCATGGGGTGGTGTTTGGTTCCGAATCCCAGATATTTTGCCTGTTAGCTAGGTGTCTTCTCTAAGAAAGGAGCTATCACATGCTCAACTCTGTCTTGTTTTGGCAGTAACAATGTGTAAAACCGAGAAAAAACAGAATGAATGCACTTTCGTTGTTTGTAAATCTGTATGGGGAGGAGGAGGAGTAAATCCAGCCCAGCTCCCAAAAAGCTTCATTCTTTCAGTCTTGCCTTCCTCAACAAAGAGACGCAATGTAAAGACACATAACAATACAGAATAAGGAGAACTGTGTTTCCCCTTAAAATGAAAGGGAGTGGTAGACTTGGGCAATTTTCCTTCCTGATCAAATAAATATGAACATATGCATACGCTGCCTGTCTGTTGTGCAAAATGTTCTCAAAGGTGAATAGAGCATTAACTATAATACAAAACCATGCTAATTATATTAACTGAAGTGAAAAGAATCAGGGGTGAAGAAACCCTAATTATCTCTCCAAAGAGGTACATGTTGGTCTGATCTCCAAATGCCAATAAGGCAGGAGCAACAGTAATGTTCCTGTGCATGTAAAATAGGCTGGAATTAGGTGTCCAGAAATGCCATTTTCTTGCAGATGAATAAAGAAAATGATGCATTTTGGTTGTTGTTGTAAAACCTATAATTATCTGCAAGAAGATGGAAGCTTTAGGGTCACAGTGTGCATTTCTTTGTTGAATATCACGGTGGCCAATTTGACATTTAAGTGCTTTATCTTAGCTTTTGATCTTGCTGTGTATATATATGTGCTTCGATCTTGCAGCCTGCAGAAGCTTCTAGTGATGCGATTAACCTGGCCGAGACTGTACGTATTGAGCCAGCGTCTGAAGAGAGGGAAGGAGAGTTACCTGACTGGAGTGAGAAAATGGCCCATGGAATCTTAACAGGTACCCTTAGGATTGATTCTCTAGATTTTCCTTGGTAGAAACCCTGTTCTGGTGTTTGGGCTTAAAGCTGTACTAACCGACATGGTGCCATTAAATGTCGTTGGGCTCCCACAAGCTGGTCAGCATGTTCAAGGGTAGGTGTTGCAGCCCAACAACATCTGAAAGACACTGTTGGCTCCAACCCCAGTGTCCCCATGCAAATCTTCTCTGTTTTCCACACTCAGCATGCAGAGGTTGGAAGTGGAGCTGGTGCGTGCAAGGATTGTAGGGGCAGGCTTTGTGTGGATGCAACTGTCACAGCTTCCAACCCACCTGTCTCACCTGAATTGGGCTAAAGCTTCTCTTCATTCTGGCAGCATAGTGAAATTGTCTTCCAATCTGAAATCATAAGCTAAACTATTAATTTCAGCCACTTCGATAATATAACTTTGCATGAGAATATATTCTGTAAGAAATAGTTTCGTTGTCTGTGTTTCCTGATATATTAGTTTTATTCAGCACTCAGGTAGCAGAAAACTAAATGGTTCTACCACACATTATATCAATTACATGGATTGACCTGCGGTCAAGTTCTGCAGTTGAAAGGTTCCATCTTATTGATAGAAATATTTTACTACTTGATAGGGTACAGTCCTTTAATTACATCCTGTTAGTATGTCTGCGTTACTTTCAGGTCTACATGGCTCAGAAGTAGAGAGTAAAAGAATGTAGTATTATTATTATTATTAATGTGACTTTTTCAGGATATTAATTACATGCAATTGTTTGTTTAAACTTTGCCTCTTGATAAAAATACTAAATTCTCTTTAAGATAAATAGTAAATTAATTCCCTGCCAGGTAGATGCCCAAAAACCAAATGGCAACTCAAAATAAAGCTCTTGAGATAAGCTCTAGAAGATGTTATAGTTTGTCCAATCTCCAGGAGCTAGAGTTATTCAGTAATTATGTAACGGTTGCTAAAAACAACAACTTGTTCTTTGTTTTGCCAGCTTAGTGTATGTTTGGAGATTTTCATCTGAATTATGCTGGTGGATGAATAAACTGGGGGCTGACTTGCAAGCTAACTTAAATCCTGTTTACATCTGATGCAGCTCAGAGTGGTAGAATTCTAGACTGCACCACATTAGACTACTGGTTGGGAGGGGGAATATTTTATTTAATTCTCTGCCATGTTGACTTGCTTGGCGTAAACCCACTCCTCTTGTTCGCCACATGCGTGAAGCTTCTGAGGTAGAGAAAGAAAGAGCGCACATTCAAAAATATGAGGTACCCAGCGCAATTGCTCTGATATGAAAAAGGTAAAAGGACCCCTGACCGTTAGGTCCAGTTGCGGACGACTCTGGTGTTGTGGCGCTCATCTTGCTTTACTGGCTGAGGGAGCCGGCGTATAGCTTCCAGGTCATGTGGCCAGCATGACTAAGCCGCTTCTGGCAAACCAGAGCAGCGCATGGAAATGCTGTTTACCTTCCCGCTGGAGTGGTACCTATTTATCTACTTGCACTGCATGCTTTCGAACTGCTAGGTTGGCAGGAGCTGGGACCGAACAACGGGAGCTCACACCGTCGCAGGGATTCGAACCGCCGACCTTCTGATCGGCAAGCCCTAGGCTCTGTGATTTAATCCACAGCGCCACCCGCATCCCTGCCTGATATGGTACAATGCATAATTCTACTGAGAATTCCTGGAGAACAGGCGAAGTCCCGGCAGACTGGAGGAGGGCAAATGTTGTCCCTATTTTCAAAAAGGGGAAAAGAGAGGACCCAAATAATTACCGCCCAGTCAGTCTGACATCAATACCAGGGAAGATTCTGGAGCAGATCATTAAGCAAACAGTCTGTGAGCACCTAGAAAGGAATGCTGTGATCACCAATAGTCAGCATGGATTTCTGAAAAATAAGTCATGTCAGACTAACCTGATCTCGTTTTTTGACAGAATTACAAGCCTGGTAGATGAAGGGAACGCAGTGGATGTAGTCTACCTTGATTTCAGCAAGGCATTTGACAAGGTGCCCCATGATATTCTTGTAAAGAAGCTGGTAAAATGCGGTCTTGACTATGCTACCACTCAGTGGATTTGTAACTGGCTGACTGACCGAACCCAAAGGGTGCTCATCAATGGTTCCTCTTCATCCTGGAGAAGAGTGACTAGTGGGGTGCCACAGGGTTCTGTCTTGGGCCCGGTCTTATTCAACATCTTTATCAACGACTTGGATGATGGACTCAAGGGCATCCTGATCAAATTTGCAGATGACACCAAACTGGGAGGGGTGGCTAACACCCCAGAGGACAGGATCACACTTCAAAACGACCTTGACAGATTAGAGAACTGGGCAAAAACAAACAAGATGAATTTTAACAGGGAGAAATGTAAAGTATTGCACTTGGGCAAAAAAAATGAGAGGCACAAATACAAGATGGGTGACACCTGGCTTGAGAGCAGTACATGTGAAAAGGATCTAGGAGTCTTGGTTGACCACAAACTTGACATGAGCCAACAGTGTGACGCGGCAGCTAAAAAAGCCAATGCAATTCTGGGCCTCATCAATAGGAGTATAGCATCTAGATCAAGGGAAGTAATAGTGCCACTGTATTCTGCTCTGGTCAGACCTCACCTGGAGTACTGTGTCCAGTTCTGGGCACCACAGTTCAAGAAGGACACTGACAAACTGGAACGTGTCCAGAGGAGGGCAACCAAAATGGTCAAAGGCCTGGAAACGATGCCTTATGAGGAACGGCTAAGGGAGCTGGCATGTTTAGCCTGGAGAAGAGGAGGTTAAGGGGTGATATGATAGCCATGTTCAAATATATAAAAGGATGTCACATAGAGGAGGGAGAAAGGCTGTTTTCTGCTGCTCCAGAGAAGCGGACACGGAGCAATGGATCCAAACTACAAGAAAGAAGATTCCACCTAAACATTAGGAAGAACTTCCTGACAGTAAGAGCTGTTCGACAGTGGAATTTGCTGCCAAGGAGTGTGGTGGAGTCTCCTTCTTTGGAGGTCTTTAAGCAGAGGCTTGACAACCATATGTCAGGAGTGCTCTGATGGTGTTTCCTGCTTGGCAGGGGGTTGGACTCGATGGCCCTTGTGGTCTCTTCCAACTCTATGTTTCTATGATTCTATGATTCTATAATGCTTAGAACAGCTCTGAAGCTACACAGTGCAGATCCCACATACAACACTAATAATGTTTTCTGATGAGCATTTACAACAGCACTGTGTAAAGGCTGTTACATCAGTCATGGGCCAGAAAGAACAAGTAGCATTGGGGGGAAATCAGTTTAGTTCTATCACAGTTGCACAGTGCACCAGTGCTCCTGGCCTAATGATAGAAGAAACACAAACTACTCTGGTACAAACTACTCTGGTACAATATAGCTGTTGCAGTTCTTCTCTAGGGCATGAAGAATACCAAGATGCTAATGTGGCCTTCTAAGAGAGGAGAAATGATGCTGTTGTGCCTTCCCAGGAACAACCCCTAACATTATAGGCATGTCCTTTCTGGCCCTAAAGGGTCAGGAGACTCAGCTGTTACAGTACTTTGTTTTTAGGAGATGAAGTGCTATTTGATGTCATAGTTGCCTTCAAAGGGTGGTGCAAAGGATCTGGCTGAAAGGGTTTTTCCCCCAAAGAGGGGTGTCATGGTGGAATGGTCCTTGTTACATAAGCAGATAGAAAAATAGATGGGCAAGCTCCAAAGCTGCTTTTTCATTCTATGGCAAAAACAGGTAAAGCTTTCCTATTTTCATCATTGCTGAAGATGGAATTGTAGCTAATTAAGAGGATCTGGGAGACTCACCAGTGTGTGAGCTCAGGCTGTATTTTTTTCAGCTTACTAGCCTGAACTTAAGTGGGAAGGAAATGCTGCCCTATAACATTGCTACATCTGTCAATCTGTTCTTGTTTCCTTAAAGGAGCATCCTGGGTCAGCTGGGGCCTGGTCAAAGGAGCAGAATATACCGGGAAAGCAATCCACAAGGGAGCTTCCAAACTAAGAGAGCACATTCAGCCAGAGGAAAAGCCAATGGAAGTCAACCCAACCGTAGCTAAAGGGCTGCATGTAGCCAAGCAGGCTACAGGAGGAGCTGTGAAAGTCAGCCAGTTCTTAGGTGAGATGTGAGCAACCGATTTCCTTGAAAAAGTAGTGACAGGAATTGATAATGCTTTGTTTCTTCAATCTTTTTTTTTATAAAAATGGACAGGGAATAATGTTGATTTTCTTTTTCATTAAGTCCTCTTTGGGAGAGAAACGGACTTCATCAGGTTTAGGCTCTTTTAAAAAATAATAATAATGCCTTAGCTCGCTGTATGTTTTTAGTTATTGACTCATGTTGTTGATATGGTTTTTTTTTACATTTTGGAATGGTTCATTATTTATGTCATCATATTTATATGTTCACGGTCTTGGAATCATATTAGATGAAGGGTGGTATACAAATTATTTATATTAATCACCCTTCAGAAGTCTTCATTGCCCCGCCTTCATTAAGAGCCAATATAGACAGTAGTAGAAATAATAATAATAATAATAATAATAATAATAATAATAATAATAATTTATTATTTATACCCTGCCCATCTGTCTGGGTCTCCCCAGCCACCCTGGGTGGCTTCCAACAAAGTATAAAAATACAGTGGTCTGTTAAACATTAAAAGCTTCCCTAAACAGGGCTGCCTTCAGATGTCTTCTAAAAGTCTGGTAGTTGTTGTTGTCTTTGACATCTGGTGGGAGGGCGTTCCACAGGGCGGGAGCCACTACCAGCAGATGCACTACTTGCATCTGCACTTTCCTCCAAATATAATTGTTGTATTCATTGAATTCAGTGGCTTAATCTATCTGACCAGAACATTCTGTAACCTATAAATTATCTTAATGCTTTCTGTTTTAGTGGAAGGCGTGTGCTCTATAGCAAGTTCTGTGGGAAGAGAGTTAGCCCCCCATGTCAAGAAGCATGGAAGCAAACTGGTTCCAGAATCCCTTAAGAAAGACAAAGATGGAAAATCTACTTTCGATGGTGCTCTGGTTGTTGCGGCAAGTGGTGTTCAAGGTAGCATGAAAATAACGCTTCCACAATGTGTGGTGCAAGTTTTTATTGAATGTCATTTGTTTGCTATCTTCCGGTTCCAATACACTAACTCTACTTGCAGGGTTTTCAACAATATGGCACGGTTTGGAAAGCGCTGCAAAGTGTATTGCTAAAAATGTGTCTAAAGAGACGGTTCAGACTGTCAAGTACAAGTAAGTTAACGTTTCCTCTACTCGGCAATAAATTTTGGTGATGCATGAATACTAGGGAACCTACACTACATGCGCTAAACAAAACTTGCTAAAAAGTAAACATGCTTTGCTATTGTTGGAACCAAACTAGTCGCGATGATCACAGTTGCATGTATCTAAAAGTGGAACTTTCCCAGTTACATACACAGGGAGGAGCAAACAAGGAGGAGTGTACAGTGTAAGTGAAGGAGCCACCTACGCTTGCTTTATCTGCAGATCCTATCCTCAAGGAACAGGAGTCAGCAAACTTTTTCAGCAGGGGGCCGGTCCACTGTCCCCCTCAGACCTTGTGGGGGCCCAACTATATTTTGGGAAAAAACAATGAACGATTTTAACCCACAAAGAGGCCTGAAGATGCCTGCTGCTGCAGTCCTGATCTGGATTCACTTCAGTGGGAGCTCTTTTTCTGATGGGAATTGTAGCCATGTGGGAACCTGATCTGGACCACAGCGGGGGGCAATGCCCACCTAAATTCCACTCCAGAAGCCCAGTACAGTCATACCTTGCGTTGAATGCGCTTCGGGTTGAGCACGTTCGAGTTGTGCTCCGCGGCAACCCGGAAGTAACGGAGCGCGTTACTTCCGGGTTTCGCTGCTTGCACATGCGCAGATGCTCAAAATGATGTCATGTGCATGCGCAGAAGCGGCGAAAAGCGACGCGCGCATAGACATGCCGTTACGTTTGCTTCTAGATGCGAACGGGGCTCCGGAACGGATCCCGCTTGTATTTAGAGGTACCACTGTACTGATCTGGCTTGCTGCACTGGCATTTTATAAATGAAAAAGCTTGTGCTCAAGGCAAAATTACACGAGTAACATCACATGTAGTCTGGCCCTGCAGTGTCAGAAGTGACCTGGACTGAGAGAGAAGCACTTCAAGAATGGGGCTGCAAGGAAATAAGTGGTGGGCAAAGGGGAAATTTGCCCTGCATCCTCTTCTTGCTGTTAAAATTGGACCTCCTGCTTCCCTTCCCCTTTGTAATTGGAACACTTCGTCTTCTAAACACACACTTGCAGCTGCTGTGTAAAGGTCAAGCAAGTGCAGGTCACTTCTAGTTAAGGGGCAGCTGCACCCCTAAATTGGATTTTCAGTTCATTTAGGTTTTACCTAATGCAGAGAGGGATTGTTGCCAGTCCGATTCCATCTGAATACTCAGTTGGATGTATTTCAGTTCTTGGAATATGAGTGGTGCTGAAATTGTAAAGGGAAGCCTCTGTCTATATAAATTAGGGTTGCCATATTTCAAAAAGTGAAAATCTGAGCTTTTTTTTAAGTTTTGCCCAATTTTATGTAATTATCTGTAACTGCATAGAGTCTAATTTTGGGTTGCTTTCTGAAGTCTGAGTCTTTTTTCTGGGCTAAAGAAAAGGGAAACATATGTACTAGCCCATTAGTTCAGCAAAAAAAAAAGTTTGCAGTCAACATTGGAGCAAAATGCAGTAGGGAAATGTCAGACTGCCAATTAGACTTCTGAAAATAATTTCTGTTTTATTTTACCTATAAGGTCTGAACCTCACCTAGTCTGTACTACATTGCTTTCTGCCAAAATAATGGTATATCTCCATGAAATAATTTCTCCTCGGCAAGTTTGAAGAACCATGTTCTGTTTGTACACTACTGTTTGTGTTAATCTTTTGTTCTTATTTTAGATTTAAAAGTAGGGGGAAAGGAGATGAGTCTTCAGTTGCAACTAAGAGTGAAAAGCAATAAGTAACTTGCAGTTATCTCCAACTAACTAATGATTCAAGTATTCACCCCATCTCCTGTTTATGTAAGAGTATAATAGAAAACACATCCTAATGAAATAAGTAGACTTTTTCTTCCAAGACAAAAGGCCACATCAAAAATCTGTTGCATACAAGGGGATTGTGGTTTACTGGTACTTTAAGATGTGTGCAATGTAGTATTTTTATTAGCATGGCAGATGCACCTCATATATATTATTTTTATTGTGTTTCTCATAATAGGCAGCTTTTTTTTTTAAGTGTGTGTACACTCGTGTGAAGAAGATTGGCAATTTTAGGTCACCATAATGCATACCTAGCAAAATGATCTTCAACCTGGAAGAACCCAACCCTCTGGGCATTTAAAAGGGTCCAGAAATCTTGCAATGCTAATTGTTCACTAACAATAAATAGCTGCGCTAGAATATGAGAAACAAGCTCCAAATGTATATCTGCATTGCCGCAAAATATTTTAAGTTCTTGGCACTTTTTATATCCACCTGCATTCAATAAATATTTTTAACATGTAAACTCCTGCCCACTGTTGGTTCTGCATAGTTGTGAGATGGTGTGAATACTCTTGTTCCTTTTGGCACAGCTTGAGTCAGTTTTGCTTTCTTCTAATATGGGTGTTTATGGCTAATGTCATGGGGAAACTAACAAAAATGAAAATCTTTTGCTGTCCAATTAATTTTATCAGATTTGTCGTGTTCCGCAAATAATTCCAAGGCTGCTATGCTGTCACATTGTAAGAAATATAGTATTAGGGATTCTTTTCCATTCAGTCTTAATGTGTGTTCCGAAATAGGCAGATTACTACTGTGTTTGGTCAAGACCTGTATTGATTATGCCAACAGCAATCAATGTTTCAAAGGGAGACTTCAGTTTTTTGGCTTTAAAATTTAGTTGGCCACTGTAGTAGATTAGCAAAGGATAGCTTCAGCATTTTTGTGTACAGTATTGTTACTCTTTTGCAGCCAGTTAACATGTAGGATTTTAGCGTTTTAAGTAGTAGGCTGTATTATTGCCCTGTTTGGTTACTTTTTTAGAATTGTTTGCATTTTTTCATATGTATCAGAAGTCCCCTTTGCATAGTTCATCCCAGAGTGGCATGTGAATAAACTTGACTTAAGCACGGCAGGATTCCTTCATCATCAATCCCAGCTGATAAAATGCTTTCTCTAATACATCACTGGAAAGGGGTTGAAATACTTGCTTAGTTCTTCTCAACCAGAAGGAAAGTTTATCCTCGTATAATTGTGGAAATTGAGTAACTAAATAACAAGGGGAATAGCTTTGTGCAGTCATCATTTACGCATATACTAAGAACTTAAAGTGAACTTTGAGCATTGTATGGGGCCACTCTCAACTGTTTTGTAATTTCTGGTTGGGTTGGGAGATTCTTAATTTTTTTCAGGGCAAAAATGTAGATTTCCAGACTTATTTTTACAATAAAATGTATTAACTTATTTTAAAAATTCTTAACATTTTAACAGCAGTACTTTAACTATTGTAGGGATAACCTATTGAACCTGGAGCTTTTAAATTTCTCTTTGTCACAGAGCACATTTTATAACATGGTTTAGTTAGCAGCTTCAGCAAAAAAAATTGTTTTATGTGGTAATTCTGGGGAGACGAAAGCTTTATCTATCTACCAAGTGTAAGCACAACTTTGGAATTTGCGTTGAAGGCCAAGTAAAAACTGAAGCAAGAGACAAAAACTAGGACAGACTAGCAGCCCTAAAACATTAAGATTGTTTTTGCTAATCTTCTTCTGTGCTTTGGGAAGATTTCAAAAGTGAATCAAGCCAGTCTGTATGCTGATTTCAGGTTTTCCAAATTAAATTTAAGCATCTACTTGGGAATGAGGGCATGCATGCAAAGATTAAACAACAATCGTAGCATTTATGTACAAATGAGGAAACTCCATTGACATGCTCCTTATTTTCATTAAGGTACGGGGATGATGCGGGCCATGCTACTGACAACGCAGTGAGTTCTGCTATCAATGTTGGTGTGGCAGCTTTCAATATCGACAATATTGGAATCAAAGCTATAGTGAAGAAAACTGCAAAGGAGACAGGCCATGCTGTGTTGGATGAATATAAAATCATAGAAAAGAACGAGAAAAAAGAAGATGGATATTGAAGACTGTGTGAATAAATTACCCAAAGCCTTAATTTATTACATAATTTATTTAAAAAGAGTTGAACTGATTAACAAGTGTTGTATTTCTAACTCCTAAGATTGCTGGACTTAAATATATCATACCTGGGAAGTCTTTTAAAATGAGTTTTTGGAATCTCTAACTCCAGTATTATTGTTAGAGCTAGATGATGGAAATAGATTTGCATTAAACTTCCACGAGGAGGGCTTAAATGCCTTTTTTCAAATAAATGTGGAAATTAGATTCTAGCTTCATGTATAGAGGGACTATTTTTGTAACTATTTCTAGACAAAATATTTTCAGAAAGCTAATGATTTGAATAGTGGCTGAAACTGAACTTGTCTGATCAAATAGTATGCACTCCTTTTAGCTTTAAATAAACTGACTAGGCTTGAGTAATTCCTCCTAAAAACTAGGAAAATCCAAACTCTTAAGACAAACCAAAGACTGGAATACTGCTATTTCCTGAATTAGGGTATCAGAGTCAACCAAACTTTGGTGTAATCCTAGGTTTCATTGAAATACATGGCATTTTTTTGCCTACTCCAGTAGCAAGGACTTGGATTCATTATACTTTGTGTTATCCAGCCAGTGTGTGGGAACAATGTTTGCTCTGAGATCGCTAAAGAAAAGGTTGAGCTCTGTAAAAGCTTTAATGGTTACCCTCTGTATTTGTTATATAGAATTGCTGCACTGTAACTTGTCTTATTGGAAAGCCTGTATTTAGAAATGATTATTGCTGCCTTGTGATGGAATGCAATGCATTTCATTTTAAGATATTCAACTTCACTCCCCATCATTACCTAGGGATTCATCTGCTATTTATGTGGGAATTGTGAGTCCCTTACTATGCTTGCTTCCGATTTTTGACTTCAATTTATGTGAAGTTTTGCAGATATTAAAAATTGTAGTGCTGTAGTCTGCAACAGAGAAATGATGGCACTTTGGAGGGACACATCCACTGGTTAAGAAGCTAACTACTTGAAATGTTGTATGGATTGAAAACTATAAATAAACTTTAACATGCATGTTTTGGTTAAGTGTATTTTTTATTTGAATGAAAGTTACAGGGAGAATTGATTCAGAAGCAGTAGACTGTTATTGCATTTTGTATAGGTGGACTAGGAAGAATTGCATTTCATTTACGCACGTCTTTCACAATCCAACATTTGCATTTCCCCCCTTCTACATAGGCAGAAGATAGGGGAAGTTGCCCCTCCTGATTTTTTACCATCTCAGTAAAAGTTGCATATGTGGGTAGAGTGTGCTACATTCCCTGGAGTAGCCTAGAATGTCCTTCCAGAAATCTTTTTATTGTACATTCCTGTTGACTTGTGTTCATGATGCCTAGAGAGGGTGGTCACATGTGATGCAGCTTTTAATACTGTTTGCACCTGCAAAGGTTTTGGAGTGGTTGCATTGCTTCAGATCCAATATACTATTCACACAGCACATGGACTATGGAGCTGCCACAGGAAGCAGTGATGGCAACCAACTTGGAGGACTTAAGTCAAGGACGAGACAGATTCATGGAGGAGAATAATTAGCTGGCTTGATCCAGCAGGGCTCTTATGTTCTTAGTGTGTATCTTGTAACTTCCTACTTGGAAAGCCTTAGCTTTTTATACCATGAATCTATGGTGGTGGTGGGGTTTGCCTTACTGTTGTAAACAGTAACTAATGTAGCATTGGGGAAGCATCCTAGAGCAGCTAAGAATAATGCCACTGCTAACACACTGGGGTGTCAGGAACATGTAGAAAACACCTGCAATAAAGCAAGCTGGAGGTTGCATTCCAGCTGTTTTTAAAAATGCATTGCCTCAAAATGAGTCAAGCTATCAAACTTAAAAAGCCCTAGTTGATTTTGCATGTAGCGGCAGGGCATAGCCATGATGCCTGCCTAGTAGCCACTAATTTTGTTGTTTAGTCTTGTCCGACTCTTCGTGACCCCATGGACCAGAGCACGCCAGGCACTCCTGTCTTCCACTGCCTCCCGCAGTTTGGTCAAACTCATGCTAGTAGCTTCGAGAACACTGTCCAACCATCTCGTCCTCTGTCGCCCCCTTTTCCTTGTGCTCTCCATCTTTCCCAACATCAGGGTCTTCTCTTCCCATGAGGTATTGGAGCCTCAGCTTCAGGATCTGTCCTTCTAGTGAGCACTCAGGGCTTTTTTCCTTAAGAATGGATGCTACTGATAGCCGCCTCTTTTAACCATCCTTTTAAAGCCACTCACGCTGCTCGCCATCGCTGCCTCCTGGGGGTGAGTTCCGAAGATTAATTCGCTGCCACCCCTCACTTTGTCGTTTTAACAACCCCTGGAGGGCAGCAGCAGAATGGCCAGAGCTGCAGTGAACTCTAAAGCCTCCTTTCTCAAACTAGGCACCTGAAGGGCTCCGACGAGCTACTCCTAAAACTCCAGCACAAGCAAACAGCTGCTGCTGCTGCTGCCAAAGCTTTGGCAACGATTAAGAGTCGAGGATCCCTGTTGAAACGCCCCCGTCAACAAACCGCGCCTCTGCAGCCGAGCGCATGCGCGCCTTCCCCTGAGCGGCAACGGCGCCCTCTGCCGATCGGCCGAACGCTGACGTAAACCCGAGAGAGAGAGCGAGAGAGCGCCGACACGCCTCCTTTGGACGGGCTCCACGAGGTGGACAATAAGGCACGCGGGCGACCGTTGCTGTCACGTGTTCGCCCCAGCGTTCCTTTCTCCGCCCCCGCCCACCACCCGCTGTCTTCTAGCTCCAAGGCGACTGAGACGCAGTGCGGCTGAGGGAAGCGCCATGGGAGAAGGCGGCGAGCTGCCGGACTTCGAGGGGCTCGTGCTGGATCTGGGGCAGGAGAAGCAGATGAAGTGAGTCCCGCGCAAAAGAGCCCCGCGCAAAAGGGACGCATTATTACGCCGCGCCTCGTTTCTGACTGGCAGGAGCGCCAGAGTCCGCCCTCATAATAATAATAATAATAATTAATCATTGTTTCACTGCTTGAAGGAACTACTTTTCTACATGTGCTCTCACACACGGTGTCCCCTTCTGCACCCTGTATTAATAATGATATTTTAGCTGGAATGTCGAAGAGCTTCGTTTGTATTCATCGGCCATACCAACAACAGCCCTTCAAGGTAGAACAGTAGGAATGCCTCTATATCGTGAGACAAGAGGGAGAGGAATAATGGCTTCTGCCTCCCTGAAGACCTGCTGGGTTCACTGAAGAGGAGAGTCTTGAATCCAGCACTTCCAAACAGATTGCGTAGCATGCTTGGCCAATTATACAGCTCAAATCTCAGCATTGACATCAGTTGCACATTTTTTAATTAAATGTTCCATGTTAGAACATCGATGGGTGGTGTCTTTGGCTTCTGCCTACACAAGAGGCCACACCGCCTGAAATCATGTGGAGGTTAGAGCACAGTGTCATCCATATGAACTTGGCCGTCAGCTTATTTGTGACTGAAGCTCATTTTTTTCATGTAGCTATCACTAACTGTTTTTGGGCGAATTCAGTATGCCAGATGCCATTGTTATCCTATGTCTTCTGTGAAACCAAAGTACACTGTACATCACAACACTCAGGTGCCTTTTGGGTTATTTTTGATATGTTATAACCCATGCTAAGCATTGTTATGGAAGGGTGGGTTATAAAGGTTAAATACATGCTGCATTCTGGTTAGTAGGGTTCCAAGGTGTGGAGACACTGGGAGTGGGATTTGAATGAAGGAAAGGATATGAGAGAAGCAGCTCCATGTGCGTGCAGAAATATAATACCACCCCTCCAGAATCATGCATCTAGAATACCGCAACAGACACTAGACTCGGCTGACCTTGAATATGGTCGGGAAACTGCAACTAGTTCAAAACGCAGTCACAGGAGTTTTGAATGGTACCTTATGAGGATGTGTTCCTCAGTGAAAAATCCCCCAGTTATCATATATGTTGCCTTCTGTACACCTCTGGCCTGTCAGCCAAATGCAACCCTTTCTATCTGGCCTTTGGACTCTCCCCAAGCCATGACCCCTTTCACCAAGCCGCAACCCTTATGAGGTCTGCTCTACACCCTCCTTTAGTGCTGCTGCCTGGCTGGAATGTGTCCTAGAACCATGATAATGTCACTTCCTTGCCTGGATTGGGAGTGAATATGTGGGTGAGTGATGTAGAAACCTCTGGTTCTTGTGGCTGGAATGTAGCCTTTTGTACAAAGATAACAGTCACACCTGTTGTCCATCCACTTTTGCTTCTGAGCCCACCCACCATTGTGTGCATCCCTTGGGCTGAAAATTATTCCCTTCCCCTTGTCTATTAGAAGGTTCTAAATTATGTAACTATTTGTTATTTCCACATTACAGAGAAGTGCTAGAACTCTCAGTATTCGAAATGAAAAACACAGTAGCAGAACTGGAGAAAAGACTTAACAGTGTTGAGGATGAAGGTAATAAACTAAATTCTAGCCTTCTGCGAATGTAATAAAAAGCCCATGATGTTGTACATCTAATTACAAAGTAAACACAACAAGAGTCTTCAGGCATTGATATTAAATTGCCTTTTAAATGCCAGCTGTGCATGCTGATCAAAGCATACTGTTGCATTTTTCTCACTTCCATGAGTAGCAAGAAGCTGCAGGAACAGCAGTAAGTGGGTTTGGGATTCTTTTGGAGGAAAAAGCACAGGAGACTTGCAGCATTTTTGTAATATTTCTTTTATGAATATTCAGCAAAAGTGGGGGCAGAGACAGCAGTTCCAAGACAGCAGATACACTGATACACATCAGTTCTCTAGAAAGCCCCTGCATGACAAGGTGCTTCAGGCTCAATACTTAGCACATGTTCACACATATACTCCCTAATTCTGCCTCTTACCTGCATGTTCCAAAGAATCTCACAAGTGGTGCTGTTCTCTCTCTCTCTCTCTCTCTCTCTCTCACACACACACACACACACACACACACAAGCTCTGATGATTTTCCCATTCCAAACACACAAGAGATCTCTATTAGGAAATATCTTAAATGGTCCATGGTCAGAGCTGATGGGAGTTGTAGTCAAGCAACATCTGGAGGCACCATGTTGCCAACCCCTGTCTTAACAATTAGCTACCAGAAAGAGACATCAGCTGGCCCATCTTCCCAGCAAATGGAATCTGCCAGCCATCTGTAATAATGAAATTGGATTCAGGTTTCCAATGTGTGGGGACAACAGCTCACTTGCTCTGGTACCAAAACCATTAAGCATCCTCTGCCAATGAACAGTCAACCTGCCCAGTTTTTAGGAGGGAAGGAAGTCTTTCCCCCTTATCAGGTGCTTCATTCCTTCTGCATTTTGCTGCCCTGTGGACCAAGAACCTATGAGATGTTCTAGCATGTTATGGATTTGGGTAGCCTTGTCAGTTTGTGCTGCAGATGAATATTTTAGCAAATTTCTCAGAGTTTAAAACAGACCATTGTTAACCTTAAATGAATCATGCTGAATTGCAATTTATTTTTGCTTTAAGACAATGAATGGAAAACCAGATATGAAACCCAAATAGAATTGAACAGACAGTTAGAAAGGCAAATTGGCCTTCTCCAGGGAAAAATGGAGCAAGTTCATGAAAGCCCAACAGGTATGGCTTAAGATTTTTTGTTTGGCATTGACAGCTATTACTCACAAACATTGTCTGTGCTTGCATATTGTTGATCAGAAGGCTCATGGCATTTTTTTCTTATTTGTAGACAGATTGGCATCTGTTCGCTCCTTTGATCAAATGCATGTGGTAAGTATGGTGGCATTTTAACTCAACAAATGTCTAGTAGTTCTACTATATTCTACTATATAAGGAAATGTATGTTTTATATTGCAGATAGATTGGTAATCTTGAGACACATCTACTCCCCTCTCGTTCTGCCTTGTAGCATTTCATCGAGGAGTGGTTTGGCTTAAATAATTGCTGGCTTTTACCATTGAATTGTTGTGCTTTTTAACCGCCCCAGCCTCTTTTGGACTGTTCCCATGATGGCTGTAGGGAAAGCCTGCATGGGTCGGCACCCAGCATATGGTGAGACAGTCATATGTGATCACTGATCTGTGTACAAATTGGCTTTATAATGCATTGGCAAATGCTGAGAATAAACCCTGTTTCTTAGGACTTCTTCATGCATTGCTGGGTGGTGGTGATATCCTGCTGGCCTGTTCGTTTAAGAGACTTCTATACTGTTTTTAGAACAATTGTTTCACAAATTCCCAATACCCTTATCAATAAAATTTGACAACTAAAACCAGCACTGGACAAATGGCCTAATTTCCAGCCAATATCTGGAATAAACATTACTTTAACAAAATCAAAGAAGGAGTCTCCCTAACTTCCTAACCCATGACAATCTCGAATAAACTTCAGTGATACAATGACTGCAAAATGCTATGAACATGCATTAAACTTGGACTCCTGACACATATGCAGTCAGGAACTTCTCACCCCTAACCCTGAATTAGAGATTAGAAAAGACTCAAATGACCTGCTTTGGAAGACGCATTTGCCTGTTTGTATTTTTGTAATACTTTAAAATAGTATGAGAAAAAATGTTTCTCTCAGAGGTTACAATATTTGCATTTAATACTGGAGGTGTGGGATGAAGTATTGTCTTTTGTTTGTTTGTTTGCTTGCTTGCTTTTGTTTCAAATGCTTTCACTGAAGTCCAAGGTTAACATAGGCTAAATGGAGAGCTAGCAGAACCATTTAGAAAATCCTCTGCTTTTGACTTGGGCAAGATTAGAAAGCATGTTCAGATCTTTGTTAGATAAACTCTGGGACTGTACTACTTCATAGGCTTGGGAGTATCACAGGGTTTGGTCCCTGGAGCCTTAAACATCCCACTGCCAAATCTTTTGGTCAGTGATTGCTTTGCTCCTTGTCAGCTGCAGATCTTGGACTTAGAACAGATGACATTTTAAGCCAATTTAAGATAGTATGGCAACGTTATTAGTTAATTTAGAACTCTTAAGGGAGAAGCAATTTTTCCTGAGATTTCTCTAAGATAACTTATTATTAGTTGACCCCTTTCCTAATCAAACTGAAGCCAGTGACCATCGTTTATAATAGGAGAACCAAATTAGAATAGGCTATTCTACCAGAACTTGGCTTTCCCCTACAGCTTTGTTTAGCCTGCAAAGGTTAATATGCTTGAGTTAAAGTAATAAGGTAATAATAAAAAAATAGGTTTTTAGGTATCATGGGGACAGGCATACTGAAATCAAAGTAGAATTTTTAATGGTAATGAAAATGGTTGGATGACAAATGCAGGAGCAAATTGGATTTTCCGTGTGCAATTGCTGCTAAAGGTCACTCTCTTTGCTCTGTCAAAGAGACATCTTTCTGAGAGTTGTTTTTTTCTCTGTGCCTTTTGCAGTCAATTGTTATCTATGTATTATGGTGTTTCTAAGTATATCTTTTGAGCTTGGTTTCTTCCCCAAAGTGGTGGTGGAGTAGAACCAATGAACATGATTAGATGCAGCAGGATAGAACTGAAAGGTGTAACGTACAAGGAGAATCTGTGTCTTTACATTTCAAGGTAGATATTGAAACTGCTCCCTAAAATCAAGTGGCAGCTCAGCGGCATCCCTGCTGTCTGCTCTGTTTCATTGGCACATTCTTTAGTGCCCCATGTGCTTTATTTTATACTGGCAACAATTATGAAGCAATCAAAATGCAATTCACTGGAAGCATCATGCACTGTGAATTTTGCTTTCTGCAAAATTAGGAAGCCAGCATCCTTTCATCAAAAGAGATTTCAGGGAATGAACAAAAATTTTCTTCAGAATTTTTTTTTTAGCAGAGGTGGCCTTCCTCTGTTTCTGCCATGGTGACAATACCTGCACGACAGCAACCTAATAGACAGATCCTGATAGGCAAATACACTGGTGAAAATTGCAGGACTTCCATAAGTATGATACATGTAGTTGTGATACCGTCTTAGCAACATTTCTGTTGGGAACAATTGAGGAAGCTGGGATATATGATGTAACTTATAGTGGATATCATTCATTCTGTAATCCTGCATCCATACCAGTTTTCCTATGGGAAGCTACAGAACTTGGGTTTCAAGATTCAGAGACAGTAATGATTCTGAATTCAAGTTTCTGTGTTTGCGCTCGGGTCTTGTTAGCAAGTTTCCTCCAGGCACCTGGTTGGTCTCTGTGAGATCAGAATGCTGGACTAAATGGGCCACTGGCCTCATTCACAGGGATCTTAATATTCTCAAGATGAAGGAGGATGGCTGTGAGATAAGACCGCCAGCCAGTTGGAAGCACTAGGGTTGTGTATATTCGTAGTCCGTTGAGCCATGTGTGTCATAATATGCTATGATGACAAGCAGATAGTAGAGGGGCACTAAAGACTGCACCTCCTAAACTTAATTTACTACTGGAGTCAGCGCTCCACTGGGACCCAACAGGACTGCACCTCGGAGTAGCTAGGGACGCATATGTTTTTGCAGAAAGACAGGAAAATAAAGATCACAAGAGCATGAACCATGAGATATAGGTAAGGAAATATTCACTAATTTACTGATACGGTTCCACTTTGAAGTCAAGTGCTATAGAAGAATCAAGAATGACTTATCCAGGGATTAACTATGGAAAAGAACCTCCCACTTGCCAGGAAAAGCATCCTTCTTTTCAGATTCATGCGAGTATTGGCACTACAACTTATTTTGAAATTGAGAATATTTCATCACAGGCAGAGATCAATGACGATTTTTGGGAATGTCTTTTTACTGGGTGAGACCAAGGGTGGACTTTGGCAATCTTTTGTACTATGGGGCTCTGTGCAAGGCCAAGATTTGGTGCCCACAAATGGATCTTCTCAATTATGGAATTTCTCAATTTTGTGCCCCCTCAACTTGGCACTGATTTCCCCATGATAAAACTCTGAATTGAAGTCTTAATTAAGGGCATGATGCTCCCACTGGCAATTGCATCAGTTGCAGAGTGAAGCAGGCCTTCCTAGTGTGTTCTGGGGTATATCCTAGGAAAAACAACTAGTTAAGAACGGCTGAAGTAATACAGTGGTACTTCCGGTTACGAACTTAATCCGTTCCAGAGGTCTGTTTGTAACCCAAAACTGCTCATAACATGAGACGCACTTTCACTAATGGCGCCTCCCACTGCTGCCGCACTGCCGGTGCATGACTTCCGCTCGCATCCCAGGGCAAAGTTCACAACAAGGGGCATCTACATCCGGGTTAGCGGTGCTCATAACCCGCAGCATTCGGGTTGGCACGTAACATGAGGTTCCACTGTATAGGTTTATTCAATAAACCTGATTGTAAAATTTAAAATTAGCCACCAGGGGGCACTTCATATTTAAATATGCTCCAGGCTTTTAGGTCCCTAGTTTCAGAGTCTTTTAGCTCCTGACATAGGTTCATAGGCGCCGACTCCATGGGGCCTGAGGGGGCTCGAGCCCCCTCAAAAATTCGATTGGGGGGGCAGAGCCCCCCCAATAATTTGAGAAAATTATTAGTGCGCGAACCTTCGTGTAAAGTCTGGCGGGCCAGCGCTGCGGCCGCGGCGACATCAAAAGGACTGGAGAGTCCCGAGGAGATTGCACGGCGGGGGAGAGAGAGAGGGAGAGAGAGGCAGGAGGTGCACTCGCTCGCCGCGCGCACGCACACGCAAATACAAACACACCGAGGGAGAGGGAAAAGTGTTTTGCAGGAGGAGCTGCTGCCGCCGCCGCTGCTGCCAGGACGCGCCAGAGGAGCCGCCGGGTGGGAGGGGGAATCCGAACGGAACAACAACAAGAGAGAGAGAGAGAGAGAGAGAAGCAGCAGCGTCTCTGAATGGGCTGGAATCTGGATATTCCTCCTCAGGCGGCGCTGGCTCTGTGGCTCCCGGGGCCTGGGCGGCAGCAAGCAAAGCAAAGGAGCCGCCGACCGAACAGCAGCAGCAGCCCCTGCCTGCCTGCAAGCCTGCCTTCTATACCAAGGTCCAGGTTCTTACCCGGTCTACCTGGAAGAAGGCAGGCAGGCACCCTGGCCTGCTGCCTTCCTGCCTGCCTGCGGCCGCCTGGCGCTTCTATACGAAGGTACAGGTTCCTACCCGGTCTACCTGGAGGGAGGCGGGCAGGCACGGGGGTCCTGCTCAAGCAAGGAACCGACGCCTACCCGGCCAACCCGCTGCCTTGAGGCAGGAGCAGCAGCTGCGCGGGGTCTCGCGTTCTCTCAGAGGCTCGCACTGCTTCTCGCGTTCTCCCTCCCCCAGGACCCCGGTATGGGCCCCCCCAATATTTTTTATAAGTCGGCGCCCCTGCATAGGTTAGTGAGATATTTTACATATTGATCACAATTCAGGTAATGATAGCCACCTTGCAGTCCCATTGGTTCCAGTGATTACAGGAGGCTTAAAATTGCTCTAGCATTGGCTGTGTTGTGCCCATTGTATTTGTGTGGTTTATGTTTAATTGAAGAGTAGCCATGTTGTCAGTTTTACCACAAGCACCATCATGCGTACAGTATAAATAATTCCATATAGGTGCAATGGGACTTTTGTTACAGTAGCAAAATAAATAAATTAATTAAAATGCAGCCTCTCTAGTCTTAATTTATTTTCACTAATTGGTTGCAAATCTAAGTGCTGGCATCCATGAGCTTCACAGTTGTGGCTTATAATGTTAAAATATGTCATTAAGCCAGCTGATAGAGACCACCTATTGGCTTTTCAAGGAGGGAATGTTTTTCTCTTTCAGATGGGATATTTGCATTCAGTTTCAAATGGCAGGTTGACTAGCTTACAGGGGCTTCACAGTGGTTGTCATTTCCACAGCGTGTCAAACAAATACATCACATCTGGGCCTCTACCCGATGGAGAAAGTAAAAGGGAATTGAGATTAAAATAAATGTCACTAGCTCAGCAGTTGATATGCCAAATTTTGGGGGAAACAAATTTGCAGTCCTTTGAGAAGGGGCTTAAAATGCATTTTGAATACTAGGGACTAATTAATTAGGAACGCTACTTGCATTGCTAATTGTGCAATATGCTATATCATCCAGAATGTGATTACTGTGTATGTTAGTGGCTTTAAAAAACCAGAGGCTGCCTGCAGCCACATAAAACAGTTGAATAATGGTTAAACCAGCAATACTGCAGAAGTGGAGAAACAAGGATCTGATGAGGCAATTCTCTCCTGAAACCTGAGACTTTGCTAAATGCCAAAAATAAGATATGAAATCAAGGGAGCAGCCCACCAAATTATGATGCTCCACAGCCTTTTAGGTTGTAATCGTTTGCACACTTACCTAGGATGAATTGATAAATCTTTCAATTTCAGTTTCTCTCTGTGTTCCTTTTTCCAAATCTTAACTTCAGTTCACCCTTTCCATATCACTCTGATTTTTTTTAAAAAAACTTGCATGAAATTTTGTACACATGCCGTGTAATATGCATATTTTTAATGCAGTTTTGCCTAATATACACATTTTGTGAGCAATTTCCCCTCATCTGAAGCACTTCTGTGCATTGTTTTCATGAATATATGCATTTTTGTGTATCCTTTCTCCTTTATACACTTTTCCCTGTGTATTTTTTTTGTTGGAGAACAGCATTGCAAAATTTGGAGAAGTACAAATTTTGAAGGATAGCTTGCTGCACTTTGGTTTGCAAATTGTTTTGGGAAGTGCAAATTAGGTAGGCTTGCACATTTCTCTCTCCTCCGTCCTGCTCTGTCCCTATCTGGGAGTAAGCTCTATTGAACATACTGGGACTCACTTGGAAGTCAGCATACATGTGATTGTACAGTTACGTATTCCCCACTTCCCTGAGTACTGAGGCATTCCAAGGACAGCCATTACTCCAGTTTGGTTTCCTTTGGAGAAAGAGCTCAGTGGAGACTTAAGGCATTTCTGTAATAATTTGAGTTTATTTATAAATATACAAGGTGAACAAAGGTGGAGGCACACAGCCTAACCCATTTACCAGCAGCAAATTCAACAGTCCTACTTCTGCTGGGCAAAGAAGGCAGCTTTGTACCCCTAGAAAGGTTTAGCTTAAAGCTCCTATAGCTCTTTCTTTCTCTCAGGAGCAAATTAGCCATGATGTCTGTCACATAGTTGTTTGCACTTGGGTAGCTGATTATTACAGAATAAATAGTTGGGTGCAGGGAAGCCAAACTCAAACCACGACTATGATGCTTGAGGAGATGAAAAAAGAGGCTTTAATCCTGCCCACCTCCCAATCAGAATCACCTCCCCATCCATGCCTGATATTTGCAATAGGAGGAAAACGTTAAATACATTAAGTAAAAGGGCTCCATTTTACTGGTGCATCTTCAATGCAAAAAGAGTATCTCATTGCAGAATGTGATGTTCTTTCATATCTTCACCAATTCCTCAACAAAGGAGTAGGCTACTTCAAATGGCAGTTACATTGGCAACATTTTGGATAACAAAATAATATTATTCTTTGGTTTACTCATCAGCTCTTTTAGTGATTGTTTCTTGTCTCTGAAGCAAAATTGGGATACTCACTGGTAAATATTTGTTTAGTTCATAGTTCGCCTTCTCGGAACCCAGGAGAGTTGTATGACAGATGAGGCTTATAGCTCCTGACATGTTGTCATTCTGTCTGCGCTACAAAGATTTCTTTTTCCCATTTGCTTTGGGGAGAAAACACATTTGTTTTAGGGACCCCCCCCCCACTTTGAATTAAGAATAGAAGGAAATTTCATTCAGCCTACATTTTAAACTGCAACCTATTTCACAGTTCCCAGATTTATATGCTGTGTGGAGCATAGGTTGACAATCAGATTTTGTTGACAATACACTTCTGTGTATTTAGTGATACAGTTTTGGTGCAAAAATGCGTATTTTACATGGAAATGTGTACAGAAATACATAAATTACATATATTAAGGGAAAATGTATAGAAAAACATACATTTTTGCATACTTTAGGGGAGAGTACGAACAAAAATGTGCATGATTTAAAAGAAAGATTTCATGCATTTAAAAAATCCACAGGAAATGAGACAACAAACTAATGATTGAACACACGCAAAACTGACATGGAACAAACACACATATGAATTGACCAACATTCTCTCCATGACAGTGGTCAACTGTTGGTTTATATTACAAAAAAGAAACATTTTTTTTAAAAACCTAAAATAACAACAAGCAACTTCACAAAATCTATTACAATACTCAAAACTACTGAGTGAAAGGCCTGGGAACAGAAGATAGACTTTGCCTGGTGCCTGAAGTTACCAAAGTAGGAGCCAAATGAGCTTGGAGGGGAAGAAGGTTGTACAAGCAGGGTGTCACAGCATAAAAGGCCCTTCCTTTCCCTGGACTACTGATGGGGACCCCATGTGGAGGGTCATCAGATGACCAAAGCAGACAGGCAAGTTGATATGATAACAGGAGTTCCTAAATGTTAGTTATCCCTTTTCTGCATAGATCCAATTAGTTTGACTTAAATCCACTGCCAATCAGATCTACTGGTTTTCTAGGCTCTAGTATATCAATGGTGGAGGTTCTTCATTCGAGAGAGAATCATCCATAAATGAAAGATGCATGCTAGACTTTGGTGTTTATTCAAGAAGAAAAAGTAGTTTTTCATCTTTCCATGCTGTGTGTTACTTCCTCTAGAGAAGATTAAAGTTAACAGTCAGCTACCCAGCTATGGGAAAATTCGTCTTGCAGTCTGTGGCTCTGGTGTCAGTTTTTGACTTCAAAACCAGCAGGGGATTTATTGTAATATGTCAGCATTTTTTAAATAACATGCCACTTTTGTTCACTTCTCTGTAAATTGTGCTCTCTGGGGTTTTTTATATATATAAAAAGAATACTTCTTTCAGCAAGCTAAAAAATGGACAGCTCTATTGTGGAACTAGTGTGATATATTTTTTAATGATCAAATCCAAATAGCTGTTCTTATATGCTGTTTACCTTCTGCACCCCCCCCCATAGAACCTGTACGGTACCTGACTCCATAGAACTTGCAAGAATTTCTGCAATGAGCTTCTTGCAGTAGTCCCATCACAGTGAAAAATTTTCAGTGCAATCTGATGCATGCTTACTCAGAAGTAAGTCCCACTTTGTACAATGGGCCTTACTCTTTGGCTAGTAAGAGTGCAGTCCTAAACACATTTACATAAAGTAAGTCCCACTGAATGCAGTGGAGCTTCCTTCTAAGAGATCTGTATAGGAGAGCATTGTCGGGATACATTTTGCATTAGCTGATTCCTACCTGTTTCCATGGTGATAATGGAGTGGCCATATTGCTTTATAATCTGGACCTTTATGACACATATTCCTCTTCATTTTAAAATGTTGAGATTGGAGGTTACACAGGAGGCTTTCTTGTGAAGAACTTTCAGAGCAGTATCTTTCATAGTGCTTTGCATAAGATTTTTCAGGCACAAGCTGCCTTTGCATAGGCTTGACTGAAATGGTTTGCAGGTGAAATGGAGAAGGCTGATGGGCCTAATTAGAACCATGGGCCAGAGATTCACCACTTTGGTTGGCCACTGAGTGGCTCTCCAGGGTTTTAGAAAGCGGTCTTTCCCAACCCTACCTGGACATGTAATGGCAATCCATGGTTTTCTACAGTGTGAATGAGCTGGGGCAAGCTTCTGGTTCACACACTCTTTCCTCTTTCATGACTGCAAGGTGGAGCTCAAAAGTTTTTTTCTTCCAGTTTTAAGCCCAGTAAGGTTCTGATGATGTCTGAACTTGCAAGTTTTGGAGCCTGCCTTGTTCTCAAACTATAGTTTAAACTAACTGTAATTTCATCAGGTTGGACATTGCAGGGAACCGTGGTTGTTTAAACCAAGTGGAGGTTTCCACTCCCCTCCTCTGGTGGACAAGAGAGGAAGAGGAAATGCATAAGCTGAAGGCTTCCTATAACTTGTTCAAGTAGCAGGAAGCCATAGTTTTCCATAGTGTCTGAACTGGACCAGTGCCTAAGACTTTTGAAGGAGGGGGAGAACTGACACAGAATTATGTAAATGGTACTGAAAACGATGCTGCCAAATCAGCAAGAAGCTTGTAAAGCAAAGTAGGTCTGTGCAACTGAACCATGATCTTTCCTACCCACGGCATTTACCTAAACTGAAGTTACAGAAAACACAATTTGCTCAGTTGGGGGAGGACAAGAATCAAAGTGAGCTGCAAGCATATCATTAAGACATTGAAACTTTACAGTGCAGAACTGATAGCAACATATGGCCTGTTTTTTCTTGTCTTCATCTTTTTGGGCAAGTCAGCAGGAGACTAATAAACAGCAGGAAGAACAGTGACCGCAATTGCTAAGCATTAAAAGTGCACATCCATAAATTCAGGATAGTAGAAATTGTCATCTCCATTTTTCAGTTAGTGAAATAACAAGAAACTATGTATAAATCTGTTGATTTTATTCTATTTTATTTTGTACCTAATGGCAGGATTCTTTAAATCAATTTCTTAAACAACTGGGAGAAGAGAAGAAAAGTCTGCAGAACCAACTGAAAGATTACGAGCTTCGACTGGAACAAGAAGCAAAGGTTTGTATTTTGCCATAACCAGCACCACAAATACTTTAGAAGTTTTTATTTGTTGTCCAATATGTTGTTGTTTACAACACTGATGAAAAGAATATGAGAATGAATATATAAATAAATCCTGAGCTATGCTTTTCTTTAATCTTTTGTCTGTTCTTCTGTTGTAACTACTTATCTGTTGTTTTGGAATTTAGGCTTACCATAAAGCTAATGATGAACGTCGTGCATACTTAGCCGTGATTTCACAAGTAAGTCCAAAAATCTCTGTAGCCTGATGAGAAAACATTTTATCCTAAGCTGATCATTACTCTTTTCCCGCTGGACTTTTCTTCTCTATTCTAAGCTGATTTGCCTCCAAGCCAGAAAACTCTGCAAAGCTAAGTCTGACTCAGCTGGAATGCTAGAAAGGGATGTTAATCACTCTTGCCATCTTTTTGCCCATGTCGAATTAAATGGTTGAATCTGTGCTTCCACCCTTGACAGCCAATTGACTACTTTGTTCCACCAGCAGCAGCCTCATTTCTATACTGCATTAAGTTTTACTGCTGGCAGACAGGTTCTCTACATATTACTTCTTTCTCCCCCAGCTGCAATTCTATTAAAAATAAGTCTTTGTACCACTTTGATATCATCATAAGGTGGAAGATCTTAAGTTACATATTTTCATTTTCTACATCAGTCCTGACTAGATCTTTGCCTTTGAGTAACCAGTGGCTTTTGTTGGCTCATTACTTGAGTTTAATTAAACTTTGAAATGCAAAGACTTCCAGTCCTTTACAAAATATTCCAAAGACTTGACTGTTTGGAAGGAGGAAAGATGATGAAGTATCCCATTTTAAAATACATTTTTTCCTGTCTGCTAAGCCTGATAACTAAAATTACCTGGGGGCCTGCCAGTCTCCTGTCTAAAAAAAAGTTACTGAATATGTTACTCTGTTAAAATAATATGTCTGTTATGCTGCCTTAATTTTCCTCAAAGCAGCTTACAAAACAAATCCATACAAAAACATAGCAGACTAACAATCCTAACTATGTCTACTCACAGGTCAGTCCTGTTGTATTCATTGGGGCTTAGTCTCAGGTGAGTGGAGTTCAGATTGCAGCCTGATTTGTCCCATTAATTTCAATTGGTTTCAAGTTCAGCCATCATATTATAGGTTGGATTCAGACTCAGTGGCATAATAAAACTGCAAAACAAAAAACTGCAAAAGTCAGCATTATAAGAACAGCACTTGAAAGCAGCAATATATCTGAAATACCACAAGAACCCAGGAGGACAGGATGGTCTTCTCTTGATGCCTCAAATATAGCTATGGAGGTACCAAGTGAGCATGTCTAGTGAAGGAGTTTCATAGTTTGGGCGCTACCAGAAAAGGCTCTCTTGCCAATATGTTAGCTACCAAAACCACAAGTAGGAAAAGGATCTGTGGAGACATGAAAAGTGGGAAGCTGTCATATACTGTACCAAGTCAGACCATTATTCCATCTGGCAGTGGCTATCCAGAACTTCAGGCAGTCCTACCTGCAGATGCTTTGGATTAGACCTGGGGCCTTCTGCATGCAAAGCAGATGCTCTACTGAGCCCTTCCTCAATCGAAGATGATTTTAATTGGCAGGCAAATTCATATTGGAGAAGATGGTCCTTTATATAATGTGGCTCATTCAGGGTCAAAAACAGCACTTTGAATTGGGGCTGGAAATGGACATCACAGGCAACCTGATGAGTTTCAGTATTATTTTAATGAACTTTTCAGAAGGAAGCTATTGTAGTTCAAGCATTTACGTGAGCACCCTGCTTCGGCATCAAGCTGCCTTCAAATAGATTTCCCTTGGCCAGCCCTGTTGGTGTGCCTTCCCTGGTTCAGGCTGCTAAATAGATTTAGCATTTATCTATTTATTTAAATTATTATATATAGACTGCTTTTTAAACAAAATCCTTCTAATTATATGTGAACATGCCTGTGAACACCCAGCTGAGTGACTCAGAATGGAGCATACTCTTGTTTCTCTCACATATGGCACATATTACATATATACATTCTTAGTGTGCACACACACAAATGAAGCTTGTATTCTGCAATCCTAAATTCATACTGCGACTGCTATTGGAAGTGTCATCTTTCCCCAACCCATTTGAAGACGATTTGGTAGCCCCATAACCCAATATTTGGTTCAGCATGCCACGTGGATTGATGTGCTACATTTTGACTTTTAGGTGCAAAGTATCACATTTTTTAGACTCCTTTAGTAATCAAGAGTGACTTGGATTATATATGACAAATTCCAGCTCTCTTAGTAGCCTTGAATTACTGCAAGCATTTTGGAGGTGCACCCAGAGTTCCTTGTCTTTCAGGAGCAATGGATAAATCATAAATTTTTGGAAGTTACTGTAGCTTGGGAAGTACCTTAGCAATATTCCCTGGCATGAAGTCAAGTCAGCAAGGCTGATGATGATGATGTATATATAGTTTGGAAAAGAGTCTCCTTATATTGTTTGAAGAAAATTATTCCTTAAATAGTATTCAAAGTAGTAGCTTGGCATGATGCTTTGCCTCTACTACAAACAAACAACTGTCGCTCAGTTCATTGTGTATCAGTGCAGAGAAAAGGGAAGGCTGCAATTAGCCATGTTTCCATGTATTTAAGCAGCAGGCAAATGGTTCACTCTCTATAATTATCTGTGTCTTCTGGAATGAGGTGCCATTGCTGAAGAACAAATTTGCCTTGTTTGGCTAGCTAATAATGATGCATTTCTGTTTTATAACACATACACCGTTTAAGGAGAATGGAGAGGAAGAAAGGAAGGGAACAAATACGAGGTATGTGTTCACTCATGGGCACCTAGCTCCCTATTTAGCAAGACTTAGGTTAACCATCTTTGGAAACTATTGGTGCAATCCAGAAAAAGTCAGGCATCCCCTATGTCCTTTTGAAAGTCAGTAAGTTTTCCCTTTGAATTTTTCTGTGTTTTAGGTGGAAGGAGCAACGTATACAGCTCTAGTAGTATTTGCTGTAGCCTCTGAGATCCAAATAGATTTTTCCTCCTCATTCCTCTTCACAAAGAGTTTGTAGATTTCATTGCTAAAGGACAGTTTGGAAATTATACAATACGATTACTAAAAAAGCATGTAAACTAGAAAGCAGATGTTTCAAAACAACACAAGCATATCCTTCCCTTTCCAACACCATGATGTCCAAAATCATGTTATGATTTTAAATAGTAGTCTTTATTTGGGATCACCAATAAAAGCACACTTGTGCACAAGTTCTCTTAAGATTCAGATTGTAATAGATTTGTCAATGAAACAATCCTGTTCCATTGGCCAGCAGTCCACTAGCAGGAGCGGTCAGTTGTTATTGGCATTATAAGCATATGCATAAGACTGAAGTTTCAAGCAGCTGATTTCATTCATTGGTTGATAAATAATAGTATTTATATAGCACTTTCTTAAGTTTTCTGCATGCGCTGTCCCAAAGCTACTTCAGACATAATACCCAGCATTGAGAATGGCCTTTCCAATTGAGGAGCCCTGGACTTGCATGCTCCTTCTTTACCTTATATATTCTATTTATCACATTGATGCTGAGCTGGACAAGCATATTGACAAGGCAGCTGTGACAATGGCTAACCTCTCCAAAAGGGTATGGGAGTATGTGGTGCTAACGTCCAGTACCAACACCAACGTTGGGCACGGTTGCTTTATGGAAGTGAGTCATGGGCAACTGCAGCCACCAGGAGCAACACCTCAACGCCTCCACATGCACTATGTCAGGAAGATTTTGGGTATCACATCATAGACAGAGTCTCAAGCAAAGATGTGCTCTCCCAAGCCCATATTCCAGGCATGTTTGCACTCTTTTCTCAATGACGTCCATAGGATCTTGCCATCTTCCATTCTGTGGACTTGCTTGGTCATGGCCACAGAATGGAAGATGGCAGGATCGCATGGACTTGCTATATGGAGAGCTGGCTTCCAGCATTAGGTCATTGGCAAACCAACTCTGTGTTACAAAGATGTCTGCAGAGCAGGAGAAAACAAGCTTACTCCATCTTCCATGTCACAGGCCTTTAGATATTTGAAGATGACTATCTCCTCTCAATCTCCTCTTTTCCAGGCTAAACATTCCCAACTCCCTCAACCATTCTACAAAAGTCTTGTCTCCAGACCACAGTCTGACACTCTAACCACTACACCATACTGGCAATTCCCTCATTCCTTTTCTGGTTTGAAGCAAGCAGTAGTTTACTGTGTTATCAGAACTGACAAAAAAGGCTTGTGCTTGTGCTTGCCCTGCAAACCAGGATTGAAATTATGGTTTCTAGGGAGATGTGGTTATGTCCTTAAGTACTCATTTTTACAGTACCAAATAATGATGGTATTTTGTCTTAACCAGGGGTCATGAAAACTGAACATAACATGCAACATGCATGTAACTTTGTGTTAACAGATCTCTCCCAAATATGTCTGTAACATTTCCAGCTTGCATGTAAAAGCAGGAATGAACACATATTTACTTCTGCAGATTTCAGGATCACTGAAACCCTCAGAGAGGCAGAAAATGGATGCAGTAGAAATGAAGAGGGAAGACCAGCTTATGCGGTAAATAATATATATATATTTAACCCAGCCTGTGGTTTTCAGGAACTTGGGACAGCCTATGTTGTGATTTACCATTTTATTAACACAACATTGTCCTGGTTTGTTTCATGTGGTAAGTCAAATTGTAGCTTACCAAAACTGTGTGAACGTGCTGGCTCCTGGAGTCGAGCTTGCAGCCACTTCACTCTTCCTCAGTCTTTTTTATTTATTCATATGCCACACTGAACGAAGCCAAGGTTTAGTATGTCCTCTGAACCAGGGCTTGTGGTAAAGCTCTTCTTTGTGGTAAAGCCAGGTTGGTGATGGCTGGCTTATTCCAATGTAAAAAATGTAACACATCACTTAGGGCTTATCCACACTTCCTCTTCTTCCACTGCTTTTCCCTGGGGAAAACTGCTCTTTAGTGCTCAGTCGGAGCAAATGGTATTTTGGGTTTTCTCTGGACTGACGTTTGCCCTGATTTAGCACTGAAGTGCAGTTTTTTCCTGGGAAAGGAGCAGGGCAAGGGGAAATCCGCTTGGATGCATGTTTTCTAGGCATGGAACAAACAGAAGTGTGGATGAGCCCTTAATGTTTATGGCTTGAGTGCTGAACTACAACTCTCATCACCCCTAGCAAGCATGACCAGGGATGATGGATGATGTTCAGCAATACCTGGAGGGTTGAGTGTTCACCACTCCTTGTTTATGAAATGTAAGTGAAAACAAAAGCCAGAAGTCTTCTTGGGCTTGCTGGTTTGGTTGTACAACTCTTTGGATTCTAGCACATATTTTTATTTTAAATATTAAGGGAAATGGTCAGTTATCCTACTTATCCCAACCTCTTCCTGTCCAGTTTCACCCAACTGAAAAATCTGAGCAACAATTTCTACTTGATCTTTAATATTTTATAGATGGTGCAGTTCTCGTTTATATAATAACAGTGATAATTTTAACATGGCATTATGCCATAGCCTAATTGCTTCAGGTAGATTTGTAAAAGTCAAACTCAGTCTTTTAATTATACAGGTGCCGCAAAAAGCTTTCCATGTTATTAAATGTTCATAATGAACAGAGAGAGCCAAGCCATTTTGAGGGGACTGAGGATATAAAACTGTTCTGCTGTGTGGGGCTTGTGTGCCAAGTCTGAATTTAGAACAAATAATTGTTGCAGTAACAATTGACTATAGAACCTAGAATAAAGTATCCCATTATGAAAACCAGATCCTGCTGTCTCATTTTTATAATCTTTGTAGTTTGGCAGTCCACAGATTAAGGGCTTATTAACTGCTTTGTCTTTTTAATTAAATATATCAGTTTAATGAAACAATAATATGAAGGGATTAGTGCAGGTGACATCTTCTGATTATTCAGTGAAAATCAATATTTCATCCCTTAATAACTTAGATCAGTGGTGGCCAACATGGTGCCTTTCAGATCTTGTAGACTACTGCTTCCAGCATCCCTGGCCATTGGCCATGCACACTGGGGCTGATGGGAGTCCAAAACATCAGCCAGACCCTACATGGCCACCCCCAGGCTTTGATGAACAATTCATTGTCTGGAAAACCATCTTGAATATGGTCTCTGATCCTAGCAGTACAAGCAGCAGTGGTGTGTGAGCAGGGTGGAGTAGCCATCGTGCACTCCCCACAACTGTACTGCCACTCACCAAGACAGGGATGGTGTGGGGCAAGGCGGGCAAAGTCAAGAGAGCTTTGGCTTGGTGGCGGCAGCTTCACTGGAGCTGTTGCCACTCCCCTCCTATATATGGCACTGCTGAGTACAACTAACAATAATCTCAATGCTGGACACCTTCATACAAGGAAATGCTCTGAGTTATATCTGTTGCCAGTGTCCCAAGAGTTACTTAGTGCTGTCTCTTAGTGCAGATCCAGGTCATTGAGCCTGAGCTTCCATAGCTGCCGCCTGCCATGAACCACCAGTGGTAGGATTGGCACCAACAGCAGCAGCTAGGTTCTGTGCTTATGATAATATTTTATTTTCTTGTTAATTGTGTTGTTGTAAAGGTATGTTTTATATTTGACTGCCTTTAGTAACATTTTCTTTTGACATGTTGAAGGCAATTTTGTTTCGTTTAACTTTGCTGTGTTAAATGTTCTGTAGTTTGCCTCCCTTGTAATGTTTTATTTTGAAATCTTTAAGATAATATTTTAGTTTTCTGGTAATTATGTTGCTTTGAATGTATACTTTATATTTGCCTTTCTTCAGTAATGTTTTATTCTGGATAGTTTTGTTTGATGTTTTAATATAATGTAAACAGAATTTTTCTAGAAAAATATAAAGCAGTGTAGAAATGAAATTAATAATACTTAATACAGAATTGGGGCTTTTTTCTTGAAACAGGAAATCAGCAGTCCAGACCACATATTCCTTGTGAAATTTTTCTTGGTTCTAGAACAGGCATGTACAACTCCCAAGAGACTGCAATCTACTCCCATACTCCCACTAAAAAAAATCTGGGCAGTGATCTACCCATTGAATTGACCAAAGTTGTTGAGCTTTTTGGGGGGAGGAAGACCCAAAGATGTTGAGTGATTGACCGGTGGATCGCGATCGGCCAGTTGAACATGCCTGTTCTAGAGGAAGTGGCCATAGTCCCACTGTTCAAAAAACACAAGTCAAAAGCTATTTAGTCAAAAGCTCATTTAGGCTAGCTGGACTCATTGCATGGTTCTTTAAATTCTGACCCACCTTACAACTCTATTAATCATTCACGTTTATCAATGGTTTTTTGTTTGTTTTTAGCTCTGCAATAATTAAATAACTGGGTAACAATCTCACATAAAGCATGTTTAATTTCTCTTTCTGTGTGAATTTAATGGTAGCTGCCATAATTCTATTAGTTTTCCAGTCCTTTGCTTTCATGGACAAATTCACATGATTAGATCCATGTAGAATCTCTCTTTTTTGAGACAACACATGGTGGTGGGGCACCAGGCATGTGTGGTGGTATAGTACATGTGAACATATATACATATATTTTAATATCTGCACCCCAGGGACTGACCTGAAAACTTCCTCAGGATGTGGAAGACAGTTATTTGAAGTGTTTTAGGAAGTGATAGCGCTCTTCAGACAAACTTCTGTATCTGCTGTTAGAACAGTAAGGGGTATTTTAAGTGATAAGGAAAGTTCCATATAACATATAGACCTTTATGGTGCTTATGAGCACCATGCACAGGCCAATCAGCGTCAGCTTCCTGACTGTAGGAGGAAGATTTCCTGAATGATTCACTTTTAAAGAGGAGCTTATGCAATCTGTCTCCCACACAGTTCATTCGGAATAAATGCCACCTCTTGCTTTCTATTTGCGGTCGCTAACACAGATTAGAATCCCAATGAAAAGGGGATGGGGGGAGGGAGGAATCCATCTTTACATTGTTCTTTAACTACCCCGACACCAAACTTTTATCTCCAATCTACTAAAACCACATTTTTCTATTGTGCCAGTGTCAGCCAAAAGTGAGTCAGCTTTAGGAAAAGAGTTTAAAATTCCCATGTAATATGGCTTTTAGTTTAATCTGATATATCAACTAAAACGGGAATCAAACTGTACTAGTTCATCGATTTAAAAAGCATACCATGTGATGGAAAATCCACAAGTGATTTTCACTCATTACACTGAAAACTATTAGTCAAAATGTCAAGGGCATAACTCTTGCGGCCATTTTTTATCATGAGAACCTAGGAGTTACCACTGCAGTCTGCCTGTATTTCCCGTGGCACCCACGAAATGTGTCAGTTAAATATCCGCTCAAAAATCTACAGTGCATGAGAGACTTTGCTCTTCCTGCTTCACTTTGTTTGCACTGACTCAGCCTCTTTCTTGCAGCAGCCATTTTGTGTTACGCCACACCCCCACAGCAACTAGTTTGTCACCAGCGCCCACTGACCCTGAAAAGTTGAGGACCCCTGAGATAACATGTATTCATTGCCTTTCTACCAACTTTAGAGAAAGACAGCCAGCAAGAGTCTTTCTTTCTCTTGCTCCTTCTGTTTTCCTCCAAAGTATGGCATGGAGGTAAGAATGAAATCCCCACTACAGTCTGAATTAATTTTATTATTACACTTGTGTCTTTCCCCAAGGAGCTTAGAGTAGCATACATGACCCCTCATCTTACCTTATGGGTTTTTTGTGAAGAAAAGCTAGACTGAGAAGACTGCGACTTCTCTGTTGTATGACAGAGGGCATGGGGTGGGGTCAGTCTTTTGCTTTTGGAATGGCGACCCTTCCCAAGTTATCTGAAATGTATGGAGAACTCTGGGTGTCTTGTGCTGTGCTGAATGACAGAATTAAATGTAAGGTCAATCATTTCTCTTTCTCCCTACAAATCTGACCCAGATTTTGTCAGGTGGGTGCCTTTCTCTACAATGTAAACTGAACACCCAACTTCAGAGTAGTGCTTTTCAATGGAAAGTAATGCAGAATGCTGATGGGTCCATCTTTATGTTTATGTTGGCTGCATATTCCCTGGGAAGATAATAGAATATGTCTAGCCAGCTTCCTTAATTGTATATGTAAGGGCACAGAACTGAACACTGATTCTAGGGAGGATGGTTCCTGCAGAGAACTCTTAATTGGACACACAGAAAACAATTTCCGTCTCTTACAAAGAAATAATTGATACCAGTTATTCCCAGCTTGAATCATTTCTGGGTTTTGTTCAAATGTTCAACATCCTATTGATTATCATATAAATTGTATCATTCCGAAACCATGGACTGGGAATAATTATTGTTAAAGTGTTCTTATTAGTCTCCAAGAACATCCGATTTGGTATACGTATTTATTAACCCTATTTTTTAAGCTTGGCAGCCTACTTACTCTTCAAAATCTAGGCAACCATATTTTTTATAATAGCAGTGACAGCAGTGTCTACTAGTAGTAATAAGGATTGCCAACCAATTTCAGTTTCTGCAGCTACATGAGCAAGTTTAATTGTGTTTTCTGAATTCTGTTTGTCCTTCTTTATGTTTCAGAGGAAAGTGCAATATTCCAAGAAATCAACGAATATTGGACCCAAAGAAAGGACCAATTAAAAAGACTGCAGGAGTCAAGCATCTTCCGAAACTGAAGCTCTGATTTCTTATTCCTGGGTCTTTTAGTCATTTGTTCTTCCTTTCCCCCAGTAGGAATTGTAGTGAAGTGCAAAGTATTATTTTGATACAGATTATATTAAAAGTAACCCTCCTCTTCCTAATCATGTTTAGGAGCAAGCAAGCCTGATTGACTCTAGTAGATTTGCATATAAGGAAATGTCTGCACCACCTGTTTAGTGCATGGCATATTAATCAATGTAATGAAAAACCTGGTGAAGTCTGCAGCTTGTTGTGGGATCTCTTCCTCATTGTCCTTCACTTCCAGGGGTGGTTCCAGATATGTGTAATTTAGCAGCAGTTAATTGTTGCTCTTCCACTGCAAGGTGAATAAGCAGTGTATCATGTCAGGTGGGTGAGCATGGTTTCCACAAAATTACCTCAGTGGCCAAATGGGGAGGCTTAGCAGGCCAGAAGGTCCCACCTCTGCTCTAGTACAAGTCTATGATTCTATAGCATGTGCAGTGAAGGGGCAAAGCACAGAACAGGTTGACTGCAGGCAGAAGTTTAAAGGCCTCAGTTTACCTCCAGCCCTCACAGGAGCAAGCTGCTCCCAACAAATTCTCCTTGGTGCTGCAACAAGCAACCTTTCTTTCTCACATGGGTTCCTCCTTGGGATCAGAACAGGACAAAGCTTTAATCAGGAAAACAGAGGAGAAGGATGATTTGCTCACAACAACATGCACTTAAAATATAGCCTATGATTAAAATACTGATAACTTTCCCGCAATTTGGAACAAGCATTATAGAATGGCCTCTAGCATTGTTTTGCTGCCACTGCTCAGGTGTAACGGATGACGGCAGTGAAGATAATCTTTCTTCTGAATAGCATCCTGCTGAGGTTTCCCAGCTGGTTCAGAGACTAATAAGAATGGTGACTCATCTGTTCTGTTCAGTGACAGTTTTGCTCTATTCTTTCCTCAGCATCGTCAGACCCATTGGTCCATCTAGCTCGGCATTTTCTATTCTAGCAGTGACTCTCGCCAGAATTTCAGGCAAGGCTGTTTTCCAGCCTTAACTCAAGATACCAGGAATTGAACCTGCAACTTTCTGCATGCAGAGCATGTGTTCTTTCCACTGAGTTACAGCTGATAGATGGTGTGAAGATAAATTCATGTGCTTTAGATCCTTGCCCATTGTGGCTGTGAAGCCCAATCAAGAGGAGCTTGTTATAATGCCTCATTGGAAAAAGATAAATCCTGCCTGTTTAAAAAGAAATGAACTTGCCCCCTTCTTAAAAAATGAAAAGAAAGGCATATTTGAACGAGGAGGAACTAGCCTGTTGTAGGCAGTAGCACAACTTTCCTTTTTTGAGAAAGTTGGTGGACTGGGTAGTAGAGCAACCCCAGAGTTTCTTGGAGTTTCACACTTTTAAATTTGCTTTTGGGGACATGTTTTAGAAAGAAATGCAGCCATGGTGAATAATCTGATTCTGGGGATGGACAGAGTACAGACTTCCCTTCTTATCTTGTTGGATAACTTAGTGATTTTTGAAACTGTGGAACACATCTTTTCCCTGAACTATTTAGAACATCAGGTAAGACTTACTTTCTTGTAGTTCTATTTCCTTTTCTCCATTCTCACTTGAAGAGTAGCCCCCGGGGAAGTGAGGCCTTCCTTGTTTGTACTGGGCTTTGATGTTCTGCAAAGCTCAGTGTTTTCACTGATGATGCTTAATAAATGTATGAAACTGCTGAGAGAGATAACTTTGATGTCCACAGTATTGTCCAGAGTTTCAACCCTGCACAGCACTGTCCTAGGAGGTGCAAGCACCTTGAAGACCCAGAATGTACAGCAGCCTTTTTTCCAGCCCAATACACAGCTGATGAGCACTGCAACAGCTACTGTGGATTCAAGCAGGCCGGAGTGCAATGGGAGGAGTTTGTGGCAGTGGCCCCGTTGCCAAGATGATGGCACCAGTACATGGCAAACCAGCCACCTCAAGAATACATTCCTCAACATCCTTAGCCAACCTGGCCAAGGGATGATGGCGGTTTTAGTCCAGCAACACCTGGAGCCCCTACACTGGTGAAGGCTGTGTTAAACCATGGTCCCTATCTCCTTGAATAATCATGTTCAGTGATGTTATGGATGGAATTCCAAGTTCACCGCTTACTAAAGCTGCAGCAGTTCTGCTCTCAATAACACACTTGAAGTACTGCAGGAAAATAGTATGTTGTGCCCTATAGATGGATGTAGCAGGATACCCCCACAAAAAATGCACTCTTCCCGGGCACAGTGCTCAGGGCTGCACGACAAAGGCTGAGGGTGGTACGCCTGCGTGGCAGAGGTGGCGGGGGGCGGCAACCTAGCTATTGGGGCAGTGCGGCAGAGGTGGATGGTGGCGGCGCAATGTGGCAGTTCATCAAGTTCCAGCACCTCTTTTTCTAGAAAAAAAAGCCCTGGCGGTACCTATTTATCTACTTGCATTGGTATGCTTTCGGACTGCTAGGTTGCTAGAAGCTGGAGCAGAGCTTGGGACAGAGCAACCCTGTTGTGCGGATTCGAACCACTGACAAGAGGCTCAGTGGTTTAGACCACAGCACCACCCGCACCCCTGCTACTTTGAACACAGGTATGGCTGTCCATTGTGCATGTCAGCAAGTCCTAGCAAGAGGCTCATGAATCACCTTTGCAAAGCAGATCTATGAAGGATTTGCTTTGGCTTGTGTCTTCTCAGGCATGTATTTTTCTTTACCAACACTAATATTATTTAATGTTAAACTTTAGCAGCCTCTGAAAGATTGAAGACCAGGCATTTAAACCTCCTCAACTCCAAGGTTAACCTTAAAAGGCACACAGAAGTGCAAATCTAATGGATGGGCTGTCCAAGCATTTTAAGAGCTTTGATGGAAGAGTATTTATTACTGTGTTGTAATTGTTTCTTGTTAGGGGCAATGTTAACAGGGTTGGCTCTTATTACGGATAGCATTAAAGTGAGGCTGCAATTAAACTCCTACAGGCAGAGCATGATGTCACTGCTTCTGTGCAGGAAAACAAGTGATAACGACATAAACTGTATGGGAAATGTTGGCCCCTGCCATTTTACACTTGGGTTCAAAGCAACTTGTACTTTTGTACATGGTCAAATGTCTTTGTAGTGCCGTAGTATCCAGTAGGAGGAATTCACAGCTGTTCTTCTGTCCTCCTGTTCATAAAGCCTTCTCTTGACTTTACACTAGCACCATAAACATCTTTAAACATTTTAAACATCTTGATGTGGGCCAGATTTAACTACCCCATTCAAGTAGCAGAAGCCAGCTCAAAGACTCCTGCTTAGCATAATGGGGCTCTCCCCCACCCCACATGTGTCTTCCCCACATCTGCCCCTGAAGGACAGGAGATACCACAAAACTGTGCAGGGGGAAAAGGGGGGAGATGGTTCCATCAGAGAAGCAGAAATGCTGGGGCTGATGGAACAATCTCATTGGCACGTCATACTTATTATCGCAGACAGTTTCATGGACCAGACTCCACTTCATCAGATGTTAACACCTGAGAAAAGACACATAAGATTGCACTGTAAATCAAGGTGCAGAGCAGACAACAGCACTAGATCTAAAAAGAAAAATGGATTTTTATCTTGAAGGCTTGGTGTCAGGCAGGTTATTTAGACTATTTACGAGTGACCCTTAAGCTTCCAGTTAAAAGAATAAAACAACACAATAAAATTCAACGGTCAAATAATGTAAAACACAGAATCCCCATTCCATAAACTTGCCAAACCATAAAGCAATGTAGTAGTAGTACTGTAGTAGTAATACTACTACTAATAATAAAAAATAATATGTTACTTATACTCTGCCCATCTGGCCGGCTTTCCCCAGTCACTCTGGGCGGCTTCCAACAGAATATTAAAAACACGACAAAACATCAGACATTAACAACTTCCCTAAACAGGGCTGCCTTCAGATGTTTTTTATTTTTTATAGTTGTTTATTTCCATGACATCTGATGGGAGTGCGTTCCACAGGGTGGACACCACAGCCTAGAAGGCCCTCTGCCTGGTTCCCTTTAACCTCACTTCTCGCAGTGAGGGAACCACCAGAAGGCCCTCGTAGCTGGACCTCAGTGTCCGGGCTGATGATGGGGGTGGAGACGCGCCTTCAGGTATACTGGGCCGAGGCTATTTAGGGCTTTAAAGTTCAGCACCAACACTTTGAATTGTGGTCAGAAACGTACTGAGAGCCAATGTAGGTCTTTCAGGACTGGTGTTATATGGTCTCGGCGACCACGCCCAGTCACCAGTCTAGCTGCCGCATTCTGTATTGTAGTTTCTGAGTGACCTTTGAATTTAGCCCCACATAGAGCGCATTGCAGTAGTCCAAGCGAGAGATAACTAGAGCATGCACCACTCTGGCGAGGCAGTCTGCGGGCAGGTAGGGTCTTAGCCTGTGTACCAGATGGAGCTGGTAGACAGCTGCCCTCGACACAGAATTGACCTGCGGCTCCATGGACAGTGTAGAGATGGGGCCCCAAAAATCACCAGTTTTCATGAGTGGAGGTGTGGTGGGGACAGAAAACAGAACAGCCCAGAGGTGCTGCAGCCACAAAAGATGCTGCAGCCACAAACAGAGGGGGAGCTGTGTGTTTTGCGAGACAGGAGAGACAGAGTTTGCATGTGAGTTTGGGTGAGGATCCTGGGGGAAAGTGATAGAGATGAACTGAGGGTGGATGGAGAGAGAGAGAATGTGTCTGCTTGGGATGCTGTCTGCTGGGATAGCTCAGTTGGTAGAGCATGAGACTCTTAATCTCAAAGTCGTGGGTTCGAACCCACGTTGGGCCAAAGATTCCTGAATTGCAGGGGTTGGACTAGATGACCCTTGGGATCCTTTCCAACTCTACAATTCTATAATTCTCTGACTGGCAATGGCTGTCTGGGCTTTCAGGCAGAGAGTCTTTCCTAGTCCTACCTTGATAGGCTGGTGGTTGAACCTGGGACATTCTGTGGGCAAAACAGATGCTTTTCCAGTAAGCTGCAGCCTTTTCCCCCACAAGCTACATTCTATGCAATTCTTCCCCCTCCCCAATTTTTAAAATTGCTTTTTCGCAAGTAATAAGCATAATTTAAACTACCATAAGGACCAACAATATCAGATAGTCCTTCATTTCTTGGAAAAAACGATGCCATTCCTAATCATTCACACTTGGTATCTAGATGTGGCAGTTCCACATGACATTCTTGGGGGAAAAGTGCTGCAGAAAACATTTCCCAAATATAGCCATTAAAGCGAACTTTTAGATGCAGGAATTTCATAACTCAACCAAAACCATGTGTCTGCGCGCTCCAGAGCCCTTTCTTCATAATTGGCCTAAGCCTGTACCCCAGAGTAAGATGGCACCATTTCAAACATGCATCCCCGCCAAAGATTTATCTGTAAAATGTCAAGTTGACAAGCACATGTATCATACACAGAGATGCTGATTGAGGAGCTGCAATTGGCTGGGTTTGCCTGTTGGCCGTATGCTCAGTGGCAAACCCAGATTTCTCTCCGCGTGATTTTGGCTTAAATTGGCACTTGAAAAGTAAAAGGCTATAGTCAGAAGCTGCCTTTTGAAGCAAGTGCATCTGGAAATGCTTTTAATATATATTTATCTCATTTTCTGTTTTGTTATGATGCTCTTATGAGTTTTCAAAATACTGAAAGAAAGGTATGAGGCATGTGGGTTCTTTTCCCGCAGCTGTCTGGTGCTAAACCTCTTGCAGCTGTGCAACTGTTCATTGCCTGGCAGAAATATATATATATGGTATCCCAGCTAAGTAGCTTGACTTTCCCTGCTGAGGAAGTACAAGGCAACAAAGGTTAAAAACAAAAGGAATTTGCCATGCATAAACTTCATGCGGGGTGCTGATTGTGGAAATCCTGAAATCAAAATAGACAAGACACTTTATTTTTTTCCCACTTGTTAGAAAATCATAAGATATATTTGGAAAAAGATGAAAACGGTCAAACAAGCTTGTTCCTGATGACGGCAGAAATTCTATGCACAATTATAAGGGAGTGTAGACAGAGAAACATAGAATTGTTTAGTTGGAAGGGACCACGTGGGTCATCTAGCCCAACCCCCTGCAATGCAGAAATCTTTTTACCAACGTGGGGTTCGAACCCACCAGCCTCTGCTTAAAAACCTCCAATGGGTGGGCCAGCCATGTTTATACTGTGAGTTATTTTTAAAACGGAGCCAATCGTCATATCAATGAGAAGCAGTGCTGCTGCGGATGCTGCAACCAAGGCTTTGTAGGAATTATTTCAGAAAACAGCTGCTGCTGCCACCGTTGTAGCAAATGAGGTTCCCAATCTGGCCACATTCCTGGAGAAGCTACTCGTCCGCTGCCTTTTTCCTTCTAAGCCTTCGCCTGCCACTGTGCAAGTACAAGGAGCTCTGCAGCTAATTAAGTATTAAATCATTTTCTTTAACTATATTGGCATCTCTGATGAAAGGCATCTATTCATGCTTTGTTTTAATTAGCATTTGTTTGTATCTCCATGGGAAGGAAGAGCTGACTAGAGTTGCCTTTCTTTCCCAAGGTCAAGATAAGGTGTCAAGTTTCCATGAAAATTAAAGTGGTAACACTAGGGCTGGGGGGTGGGGAGAAAGAGAGAGTTGCCTCCCTGGCTCATGCATTCAGACAGGAACAAAACTGGTGGAGTAGTTTGTCCCCCCTTACCACACATATTGGCCCAGTTTATACTGGAGGCCTTCC